TAAACAAACCAAAATATATTTTAGATTTTTGATTCTTCAAAGTAGCCATCCTTTGCCTTGATGACAGCTTTGCACACTCTTGGCATTCTCTCAACCAGCTAAATGAGTAATGCTTTTCCAACAGTCTTGAATGAGTTCCGACATATGCTGAGCACTTGTTGGCTGCTTTTCCTTCACTCTGCGGTCCAACTCATCCCAAACCATCTCAATTGGGTTAAGGTTGGGTGATTGTGGAGGCCAGGTCATCTGATGCAGCACTCCATCACTCTACTTCTTGGTCAAATAGCCCTTACACAGCCTGGAGGTGTGTTTTGGGTAATTCTCCTGTTGAAAAGCAAACTATAGTCCCAGTCAGCGCAAACCAGATTGGATGGCGTATCGCTGCTGAATGCTTTGGTAGCCATGATGGTTAAGTGTGCCTTGAATTCTAAATACATTCTAAATAAATCATCAACAATGTCACCAGCAAAGCACCCCAACACCATCAAACCTCCTCCTCCATGCTTCACGGTGGGAACCACACATACAGAGATCATCCGTTCACCTACTCTGCGTCTCACAAAGACACGGCGGTTGGAACCAAAACTCTCAAATTTGGACTCATCAGACCAAAGCACAGATTTCCACCGGTCTAATGTCCATTGCTCGTGTTTCTTGGCCAAAGCAAGTCTCTTCTTCTTATTGGTGTCCTTTAGTAGTGGTTTCTTTGCAGCAAATCGACCATGAAGGCCTGATTCACGTAGTCTCCTCTAAACAGTTGATGTTGAGATGTGTCTGTGACTTGAACTCTGTGAAGCATTTATTTGGGCTGCAATCTGAGGTGCAGTTAACTCTAATTAACTTATCCTCTGCAGCAGAGGTAACTCTGGGTCTTCCTTTCCTGTGGCGGTCCTCATGAGAGCCAGTTTCATCATAGCGCTTGATGGTTTTTACGACTGCACTTGAAGTAACGTTCAAAGTTCTTGAAATTTTCCGGATTGACTGACCTTCATGTGTTATAGTAATGATGGACTGTCATTTCTTTTTGCTTATTTGAGCTGTTCTTGCCATAATATGGACTTGGTCTTTTACCAAATAGGGCTATCTTCTGTATACCACCCCTACCTTGTCACAACACAACTGATTGCCTCAAATGCATTAAGAAGGAAAGAAATTCCACAAATTAACTTTTAAGAAGGCACACCTGTTAATTGAAATGAATCTCCATTTTAAAATATATTTAGATTTGTTTAACACTTTTTCGGTTACTACATGATTCCATATGTGTTATTTCAAAGTTGATGTCTTCACTATTATTCTACAATGTTGAAAATAGTAAAAATAAAGAAAAACCCTTGAATGAGTAGGTGTGTCCAAAACAGCGCCCACTGACAGTCATCTCGTGTATATATAAATCATTGGTTTAGACAGGCAGCCCATTTCTTTTTTATTTCTTTTTACTTTTACCCCTTTTTCTCCCCAACTTTGTGATATCCAATTGGTAGTTACAGTCTTATCCCATCGCTGCAACTCCTCTACGGACTCGGGAGAGGCGAAGGTCGAGAGCCATGCGTCCTCCAAAACACGACCCTGCCAAGCCGCACTGCTTCTTGACACACTGCTCGCTTAACCCGGAAGCCAGCAGTACCAATGTGTCGGAGGAAACACCGTCCAACTGACGGCCGAAGTCAGCTTGTAGGCGCCTGGCCCGCCACAAGGAGTCGCTAAAGCACGATGGGACAAGGAAATCCCGGCTAGCCAAACCCTCCCCTAATCCGGACGACACTGGGCTAATTGTGCGCCGCCTCATGGGACTCCCGGTCACGGCCGGCTGTGACACAGCCTGGGATCAAACCCGGGGCTGTAGTGATGCAGTGCCTTAGACCGCTGCACCACTCGGGAGGCAGGCAGCCCAATTCTGATATTTTTTTTCACTAATTGGTCTTTTGACCAATCAGATCAGCTCTGAAAAAGATCTGATGTGAAAAGATCTGATATGATTGGTCAAAAGACCAATTAGTGGAAAGAAGATCAGAATGACGAACATGGTGAAACAGAAGATACACTGTCTGTCCTTTAGAGTTTTGAGAAGTCTTTACCCAACAAAGTCATATTAGGATATGTCAGTTATCCCGTGAGAGCTTTTGTGCTGAATCGACAACGGTGTTTCAGGTGCCAAGCTTATGGTCATGTTGCAGCAGTGTGTAGGAGGGAGATTCTTAGATGTGAGAAGTGTGCATGGGACAAAGGAATGTTGAGTATCGGTGGAAGAAGCTGTATGTGTAAACTGTAGGGGTGCCCATGTTGCTGGAGATCAGAAGTGTCCGGTGCGAAAGAGGCAGGTTCAGGTTGCCATGGTTGGAGTATAATTTTAATCAAATTTTATTTGTCACATGCGCAGAATAACAGTTTTTATTTAATCAGGTAAGCCAGTTGAGAACAAGTTCTCATTTACAACTGCGACCTGGCCAAGATAAAGCAAAGCAGTGCGATAAAAACAACAACACAGAGTTACATATGGAATAAACAAAACGTACAGTCAATAACACAATAGAAAATCTATATACAGTGTGTGCAAATGTGGTAAGTTATGGAGGTAAGGCAATAAATAGGCCATAGTGCAAAATAATTACAATTTAGTATTAACACTGGAGTGATAGATGTGCAGAAGATGATGTGCAAATAGAGATACTGGGGTGCAAATGAGCAAAATAAATAACAATGTAAATAACAATATGGGGATGAGGTAGTTGGGTGGGCTAATTACAGATGGGCTGTATACAGGTGCAGTGATCGGTAAGCTGCTCTGACAACTGATGCTTAAACTTAGTGAGGGAGATAAGTGTCTCCAGCTTCAGAGATTTTTGCAGTTTGTTCCAGTCATTTGCAGCAGAGAACTGGAAGGAATGGCGGCCAAAGGAGGTGTTGGCTTTGGGGATGACCAGTGAGATATACCTGCTGGAACGCATACTACGGGTGGGTGTTGATATGGTGACCAATGAGCTAAGATAAGGCGGGGATATCCCTAGAAGTGATTTATAGATGACCTGGAGCCAGTGGGTTTGGCGACGAATATGTAGTGTGGGCCAGCCAACGAGAGCGTACAGGTCACAATGGTGGGTAGTATATGGGGCTTTGGTGACAAAACGGATGGCACTGTGATAGACTACAACCAATTTGCTGAGTAGAGTGTTGGAAGCTATTTTGTAAATGACATCGCCGAAGTCAAGGATCGGTAGGATAGTCCGTTTTATGAGGGCATGTTTAGCAGCATGAGTGAAGGAGGCTTTGTTGCGAAATAGGAAGCTGATTCTAGATTTAACTTTGGATTGGAGATGCTTAATGTGAGTCTGGAAGGATAGTTTACGGTCTAACCAGACACCTAGGTATTTGTAGTTGTCCACATATTCTAAGTCAGACGCGCCGAGAGTAGTGATTCTAGTCGGGCGGGCGGGTGCAAGCAGCATTCGATTGAAGAGTGTCACGTGTAGCTCAGTTGGTAGAGCAGGGTTGTGGGTTTGATTCCCACGGGGGGCAGTATGAAAAATTTATGCACTCATTAACTGTAAGTCGCTCTGGCTAAGAGCGTCTGCTAAAACGACAACAACAAAAAAAAGAGCATGCATTTAGTTTTACTAGCGCTTAAGAGCAGTTGGAGGCCACGGAAGGAGTGTTGTATGGCATTGAAGCTCGTTTGGAGGTTTGTTAACACAGTGTCCAATGAAGGGCTAGATGTATACAAAATGGTGTCGTCCGCATAGAGGTGGATCCGAGCGTCACCAGCAGCAAGAGCAACATCATTGATATACACAGAGAATAGAGTTGGCCCGAGAATTGAACCCTGTGGCACCCCCATAGAGACTACCAGAGGTTCAGACAACAGGCCCTCCGATTTGACACATTGAACTCTATCTGAGAAGTAGTTGGTGAACCAGGCGAGGCAGTCATTTGAGAAACCAAGGCTATTTAGTCTGCCAATAAGAATGCTGTGGTTGACAGAGTCGAAAGCCTTGGCCAGGTCGATGAAGACGGCTGCGCAGTACTGTCTTTTATCGATCGCGGTTATAATATCGTTTAGGACCTTGAGCGTGGTTGAGGTGCACCCATGACCAGCTCGGAAACCGGATTGCATAGCGGAGAAGGTACGGTGGGATTCGAAATGGTCGGTGATCTGTTTGTTAACTTTGCTTTCAAATACTTTAAAAAGGCAGGGCAGGATGGATATAGGTCTGTAACAGTTTTGATCTAGAGTGTCACCCCCTTTGAAGAGGGGGATGACCGCGGCAGCTTTCCAATCTCTGGGGATCTCAGACGTTACGAAAGAGAGGTTGAACAGGCTAGTAATAGGGGTTGCGACAATTTCGGCGGCTAATTTTAGAAAGAAAGGGTCCAGATTGTCTAGCCCAGCTGATTTATCAACTGTACTGCAGAAATGGAACGTAAATCACAGAAAATAGATGTAGTGGTGGCAGCTCCAGAGAAGTACTTGGGGTTACAAGATTTTACTGCAGAAGTTAAGTAATTTCCTTCCCTTTTCCCCTTCCTTTTTTGTATTTTTATCACAAAGTGTAATGGACTCACACTCCAGTCCAGTTGGTGGCGGTAATGCACCTTTTTGGTTGCCAACCGCCATTTCACAACCACAGAAGAAGTAGAAAAAAACGCTCAGAATTGGGCTGGTTGTGTGAACGGTTGAGGTGTGAACGCAGCCAAAGTAACCCAAATAGAGGACATGAGGCACAAACAGGAGTTGTTTTTCCGCCTAATACATAACAGGTGCGCCTTTCACATTAGTGAACACTTCAACGCTTGACTACACTGCGCAAACATTTAAAGAGGAATACAATCATCATCAACGCCAGGGAGCTTTTTACTGGCGTTTTCTTTACAATTACCCGTGATATGCAAGGCACCAGCATCACTTCCCGTTACATCTTCATTTCTGCTTGCATCTCCGACGCATTGATGAAGAGGATGACGATTTGGAGTAGTTAGCGGGATAAATCATGAACGAATTTGAAATGCCGGCATTCTCGTGTTCCTTTCCTGGCTGTCGCCGGGATCTCCTGGTAATAGTTTTGGTTTTGTTCGTGGGGGTTGCATTACCTATTGAAGCCTCTGCCCCTACACATCCATCGCATGGGACTGAAGGCTCATATTTAACTAATATAACTAATACTAAAAAGGCCTTTCCTGTACTTGCCGTAAATTACGAGCACGTACGAAAGCCTTTTGAGATCGCGCTATGGATCCTCCTCGCCTTATTGATGAAACTTGGTGAGTACCTGCCTTTGCTTTTGTCACGATGTTACAGTGATCCATTGGGAATGCCCCCTACTGCATTCATTGATATGAATTGATATGACACTGTATAAACCCCTCAACGTCACACTGCGTCATGCATCATGACACTGCAGCTGTCTACTCAGGGGGTATGATGATAACTTGATTGATAGCTTCAGACCCGTTCAAACAGGGTCATTATTGCAATATACTACAACTCATCAATTCAGACAGGAATGTAATGTTATAAACATACTACAGTTCCTGCCAAGAAGTTTGGACACAGGAGTTAGTAGACTTGCCCACCCTGTTACTAATAACTTAATTGGTGGCAGAAGTGGGATGATACCATGAACGTACAAGTTATCTGGTTCTTTATGGCACAGGGTTGGGCTTGGAAGCCATACTATTACCAATAAGTACAATTTGCTGTTGCCATACCCATTGTTCCAGCCCTACTTTTGATGCCTACACTGCATCTTACCTTGGACTTTATATGCAATTGTCCCTCTCACCAGTCATCACTAGAAATAGATGCACAAGTTCCATAAGATTAGTGTAATGGAAGACATGGGGATTAAACACTGCATGACCTGGCAAACATTTGATTTGGAAATTCAGAGAGTAGATGGGTGTAGCTTGTTCTGCATGCATTTCCTGTGACTGTACTTTCTCTTTAAAATAGGCTAATGTTCGTCTCAGAAAAAGACATACACACTACACAAATATTTCATATTATATTTCGTATGCACAAATGTCCCTAATGGCACCATATTCTCTCTATAGGGAATAGGGTGCCATTTAGGACGCATACTATAAAGGGATCTTCCGTGTAGGTGTCGTGTCAGTTCGGAGTCAGTTTGCCGAGATAGTGATTGGCCGTGGGGCTTTCCCCTCCCTGTCTATCTTTGGCCCAGCCCAATAAGTGAAGCTGTTTTGGATTTATCTGCAGCAGCAGCTCTCTCCTCAGGGCCAGCCTGCCTTTCTGTACTCTGTGATAACAGAAAGCGGAAAGGAGCTGGTGGGGGCTGATGCATACAGTGGCACATACAGCAGAATAACAATTTCATAACAGTGTTTGACAGCCAAGAGTCCTAGACCTCAAGTCAGCAGCATACCCATTTCAAACAGTGTCCTAGTCCTGAAATCAGCCTCATCGTTCAGTTATCATTGTTATAATGAATGGTCTGTCCCTTGGGGGATACGTACTGTTGGTGAGTTTCAAGTTTTAATGTCACGTGCACAAATACAGGGAAATGCCTTTCTTGCAAGAACTTCTTGTGTGTTATGTAGGGTTTTTGTGCTTCACACCCTTGGCCCATCCCAGATGTAGTAAATTATCATGTTCCAGGACTCAGACATACATTAGGTCGGAGACCCTTGAGGGACTAGAGTTCTCCTGTTTATATCCACTTATCCAGATATACATTTCTTAGGGCTTCAGTTATCTGCAGTTGCAGCACCAGCATGGTTGACCTATGACTAACAACTTGTGCAGTAGCATGGTGTGTGTTGCCTAAAATAGCGGCCTAAAAAAAGGCCTTTTACATTTTTTATGGGAGCTCAGAATGACCGACAGTGATGCACAACTAACTCATTGCAGCATTTAATTCATCCAATAATTAAGTGGTTATATGTGTACAGGGGCGCAACTTTGGTTTTAGAAGTGGGGGGGACATAACTATTATTATTATTATTATTATTATTATTATTATATATACAGTTGAAGTTGGAAGTTTACATACACCTTAGCCAAATACATTTAAACTCAGTTTTCCACAATTCCTGACATTTAATCCTAGTAAAAATTCCCTGTCTTAGGTCAGTTAGGATCACCACTTTATTTTAAGAATGTGAAATGTCAGAATAATAGTAGAGAATTATTTATTTCAGCTTTTATTTCTTTCATCACATTCCCAGTGAGTCAGAAGTTTACATACACTCAAATAGTATTTGGTAGCATTGCCTTTAAATTGTTTAACTTAGGCCAAACGTTTCGGGTAGCCTTCCACAAGCTTCCCACAATAAGTTGGGTGAATTTTGGCCCATTCCTCCTGACAGAGCTGGTGTAACTGAGTCAGGTTTGTAGGCCTCCTTGCTCGCACACGCATTTTCAGTTCTGCCCACACATTTTCTATAGGATTGAGGTCAGGGCTTTGTGATGGCCACTCCAATACCTTGACATTGTTGTCCTTAAGCCATTTTGCCACAACTTTGGAAGTATGCTTGGGGTCATTGTCCATTTGGAAGACCCATTTGCAACCCAGCTTTAACTTCCTGACTGATGTCTTGAGATGTTGCTTCAATAGATCCACATAATTTTCCTTCCTCATGATGCCATCTATTTTGTGAAGTGCACCAGACCCTCCTGCAGCAAAGCACCCCCACAGCATGATGCTGCCACCCCCGTGCTTCACAGTTGGGATGGTGTTCTTCGGCTTGCAAGCATTTCCCTTTTTCCTCCAAACATAACGATGGTCATTATTGCCAAACAGTTCTATTTTTGTTTCATCAGACCAGAGGACATTTCTCCAAAAAGTACAATCTTTGTCCCCATGTGCAGTTGCAAACCGTAGTCTGGCATTTTATGGCGGTTTTGGAGCAGTGGCTTCTTCCTTGCTGAGCGGCCTTTAAGGTTATGTCGACATAGGACTCGTTTTACTGTGGATATACAGTGGTGTGAAAAAGTGTTTGCCCCCTTCCTGATTTCTTATTTGTTTGCATGTTTGTCACACTTAAATGTTTCAGATCAAACTAATTTTAATATTAGTCAAAGATAACACAAGTAAACACAAAATGCAGTTTTGAAATGAAGGTTGTTATTATTAAGGGAAAACAAAATCCAAACCCACATGGCCCTGTGTGAAAAACAACCTAATAACTGGTTGGGCCTCCCTTAGTAGCAACAACTGCAATTAAGCGTTTGCGATAACTTGCAATGAGTCTTTTACAGCGCTGTGGAGGAATTTTGGCCCACTCATCTTTGCAGAATTGTTGTAATTCAGCCACATTGGAGGGTTTTCGAGCATGAACTGCCTTTTTAAGGTCATGCCACAGCATCTCAATAGGATTCAGATCAGGACTTTGACTAGGCCACTCCAAAGTCTTCATTTTGTTTTTCTTCAGCCATTCAGAGGTGGACTTGCTGGTGTGTTTTGGATCATTGTCCTGCTGCAGAACCCAAGTTCGCTTCAGCTTGAGGTCACAAACAGATGGCCGGACATTCTCCTTCAGGATTTTTTGTTAGACAGCAGAATTCATGGTTCCATTTATCACAGCAAGTCTTCCAGCTACTAAAGCAGCAAAACAGGCCCAGACCATCACACTACCACCACCATATTTTACTGTTGGTATGATGTTCTTTTTCTGAAATGCGATGTTACTTTTACGCCAGATGTAATGGGACACATACCTTCCAAAAAGTTCAAATTTCGTCTCGTCAGTCCACAGAGTATTTTCCCAAAGGTCTTGGGGATCATCAAGATGTTTTCTGGCAAAAATTAGACGAGCCTTAATGTTCTTTTTGCTCAGCAGTGGTTTTCGTCTTGGAACTCTGCCATACAGGCCGTTTTTGCCCAGTCTCTTTCTTATGGTGGAGTCATGAACACTGACCTTAACTGAGGCAAGTGAGGCCTGCAGCTCTTTGGATGTTGTTGTGGGGTCTTTTGTGACCTCTTTGATGAGTCGTCGCTGCGCTCTTGGGGTAATTTTGGTTGGCCGGCCACTCCTGGGAAGGTTCATCACTGTTCCATGTTTTCGCCATTTGTGGATAATGGCTCTCACTGTGGTTTGCTGGAGTCCCAAAGCTTTAGAAATGTCTTTATAACCTTTTCCAGACTGATGGATCTCAATTACTTTCTTTCTAATTTGTTCCTGAATTTATTTGGATCTCGGCATGATGTCTAGCATTTGAGGATCTTTTGGTCTACTTCACTTTGTCAGGCAGGTCCTATTTAAGTGATTCCTTGATTGAGAACAGGTGTGGCAGTAATCAGGCCTGGGTGTGGCTAGAGGAATTGAACTGAGGTGTGATAAACCACAGTTGAGTTGTGTTATAACAGGGGGGGCAATCACTTTTTCACACAGGGCCATGTAGGTTTGGATTTAGTTTTCCCTTAATAATAACAACCTTCATTTCAAAACTGCATTTTGTGTTTACTTGTGTTATCTTTGACTAATATTTAAATTTGTTTGATAATCTGAAACATTTAAGTGTGACAAACATGCAAACAAATAACAAATCAGGAATTTCCTCCAGCATCTTCACAAGGTCCTTTGCTGTTGTACTGGGATTGATTTGCACTTTTCGCACCAAAGTACGTTCATCTCTAGGAGACAGAACGTGCCTCCTTCCTGAGCGGTATGAGGCTGCGTGGTCCCATGGCGTTTGGAAATTGGAGGATGAACCAGACTTGTGGAGGTCTACTAATTTCTTTTGATTTTCCCATGATGTCAAGCAAAGAGGAACTGAGTTTGAAGGTAGGCCTTGAAATGCATCCACAGGTACACCTCCAATTGACTCAAATGATGTCAATTAGCCTATCAGAAGATTCTAAAGCCATGACATTATTTTCTGGAATTTTCCAAGCTGTTTAAAGGCACAGTCAACTTAGTGTAGGTAAACTTCTGACCCACTGGAATTGTGATACAGTGAATTATAAGTGAAATAATCTGTCTGTAAACAATTGTTGGAAAAATTACTTGTGTCATGCACAAAGTAGATGTCCTAACCAACTTGCCAAAACTATAGTTTGTTAACAAGAAATGTGCGGAGTGGTTGAAAAACGAGTTTTAATGACTCCAACCTAAGTGTATGTAAACTTCCGACTTCTTCAACTGACATCAAAACTATGAAATAACACATGGAATCATGTATTAACCAAAGAAGTGTTAAACAAATGAAAATATATTTTTGATTTTAGATTCTTCAAAGTTGCCACCCTTTGCCTTGATGTCAGCTTTGCACTCTTGGCATTCTCTCAATCAGCTTCATGAGGTAGTCACCTGGAATGCATTTCAATTAACAGGTCTGCCTTGTTAAAAGTTAATTTGTGGAATTTATTTCCTTCTTAATGCGTTTGAGCCAATCAGTTGTGTTGTGACAAGGTAGGGGTGGTATACAGAAGATAGCCCTATTTGGTAAAATACCAAGTCCATATTATGGCAAGAACAGCTCAAATAAGCAAAGAGAAATGATAGTCCATCATTACTATAAGACATGAAGGTCAGTTAATACGGAACATTTCAAGAACTTTGTTCTTCAAGTGCAGTCGCAAAAACCATCAAGCGCTATGATGAAACTGGCTCTCATGAGGACCGCCACAGGAAAGGAAGACCCACAGTTACCTCTGCTGCAGAGGATAAGTTCATTAGAGTTACCATCCTCACAGAGTTCAAGTAACAGACATCTCAACATCAACTGTTCAGAGGATCATGCCTTCATGGTCGAATTGCTGCAAAGAAACCAGTACTAAATGACACCAATAAGAAGAAGAGACTTGCTTGGGCCAAGAAACACGAGCAATTAGACCGGTGGAAATCTGTCCTTTGGTCTGATGAGTTGAAATTTGAGATTTTTGGTTCCAACCGCTGTGTCTTTGTGAGACGCAGAGTAGGTGAACAGATGATCTCTGCATGTGTAGTTCCCACCATGAAGCATGGAGGAGGAGGTCTGATGGTGTGGGGGTGCTTTGCTGGTGACACTGTCAGTGATTTATATAGAATTCAAGGCACACTTAACCAGCATGGCTACCACAGCATTCTGCAGCGATACGCCATCCCATCTGGTTTGCGCTTAGCGGGACTATCATTTGTTTTTCAACAGGACAATGACCTAAAACACACCTCCAGGCTGTGTAAGGGCTATTTGACCAAGAAGGAGCGTGATGGAGTGCTGCATCAGATGGCCTGGCCTCCACAATCACCCGACCTCAACCCAATTGAGATGGTTTGGGATGAGTTGGACCGCAGAGTGAAGGAAAAGCAGCCAACAAGTGCTCAGCATATGTGGGAACTCCTTCAAAACTGTTGGAAAAACATTCCAGGGAACTACCTCATGAAGCTGGTTGAGAGAATGCCAAGAGTGTGCAAAGCTGTCATCAAGGCAAAGGATGGCTACTTTGAAGAATCTCAAATATAAAATATATTTTTTGGTTACTACATGATTCCATATGTGTTATTTCATAGTTTTGATGTCTTCACTATTATTCTACAATGTAGAAAATAGTAAAAATAAAGAAAAACCCTGGAATGAGTAGGTGTGTCCAAACTTTTGTCTGTTACTGTATATATTTTTTTATCCAATCGGATAAACACTCAAAACCTACCTGACCGCTCGGAGGCGTCCACATGGTCCTAAAGCACACCGTTGCCGCGTTTTGTATCACATTCCAATGATAAAACTGGGGGGGACACAAATGCAATTTCAGAATTGTCCCCAGTGAAAGTTGTGCCCCTGTATGTGTATACTGTGAACTTAAAATACCTACAGTCGTGGTCAAAAGTTTTGAGAAAGATAAACGAGCCTAAATGGACACTTATGTTCACGTGCCTCTTTTGAAAAGTGCCTAACTATTGCGTAAATGCCTCAAGCTACTCTATCTGCACTAAACTCAGTGAGGAAGGAAATGGGAGCCTAGATTGTGATTCAATTCGGTTCTTGCCAAATTCATATCTACAAATTACCATTAACATTTATCAAATCAATCCACATTTCCTGAGCTGTCACATTAAATTGAGTTAATGATCAAGCATATTACATTGAGTTAATGATCAAGCATATTACATTGAGTTAATGATCATGCATATTACATTGAGTTAATGATCATGCATATTACATTGAGTTAATGATCATGCATATTGATGAAAGTGTGTGGTTAGGCACTAAAATGCCTAACGCACTATGTAGCCTAATTCTCATACACTCACATGCACACACACATTATTTTTGTATTTTTGTGTGTGTGATTACTGATAAATTAATTTATACATTTATAATTAGTAGGTTTTGTTATCTGTATTAATAAACGTATATATGTACAGTCGTGGTCAAAAGTTTTGAGAATGACACAAGTATTGGTCTTCACAAAGTTTGCTGCTTCAGTGTTATGAGATATTATTTATCAGATGTTACTATGGTATACTGAAGTATAATTACAAGCATTCCATAAGTGTCAAAGGCTTTTATTGACAATTACATTAAGTTTATGCAAAGAGTCAATATTTGCAGAGTTGACCCTTCTTTTTCAAGACCTCTGCAATCCGCCCTGGCATGCTGTCAATTAACTTCTGGGCCACATCCTGACTGATGGCAGCCCATTCTTGCATAATCTGGGGCGGCAGGTATCTTAGTGGTTAAGAGCGTTGTGCCAGTAACCGAAAGGTCGCTGGTTCTAATCCCCGAGCCAACTAGGTGAAAAATCTGTCCATGTGCTCTTGAGCAAGGAACTTAACCCTAATTGCTCCTGTAAGTCGCTCTGGATAAGAGCGTCTGCTAAATGACCAATTTATTTTATTTATTTATCAATGCTTGGAGTTTGTCAGAATTTGTGGGTTTTTGTTTGTCCACCCGCCTCTTGAGGATCGACCACAAGTTCTCAATGGGATTAAGGTCTGGGGAGTTTCCTGGCCATGGACCCAAAATGTCGATGTTTTGTTCCCCGAGCCACTTAGTTATCACTTTTGCCTTATGGCAAGGTGCTCCATCATGCTGGAAAAGGCATTGGTTGTCACCAAACTGTTCTTGGATGGTTGGGAGAAGTTGCTCTCGGAGGATGTGTTGGTACCATTCTTTATTCATGGCTGTGTTCTTAGGCAAAATTGTGAGTGAGCCCACTCCCTTGGCTGAGAAGCAACCCCACACATGAATGGTCTCAGGATGCTTTACTGTTGGCATGACACAGGACTGATGGTAGCGCTCACCTTGTCTTCTCCGGACAAGGTGTTTTCCGGATGCCCCAAACAATCGGAAAGTTGATTCATCAGAGAAAATGACTTTACCCCAGTCCTCAGCAGTCCAATCCCTGTACCTTTTGCAGAATATAAGTCTGTCCCTGATGTTTTTCCTGGAGAGAAGTGGCTTCTTTGCTGCCCTTCTTGACACCAGGCCATCCTCCAAAAGTATTCACCTCGCTGTGCATGCAGATGCACTCACACCTGCCTGCTGCCATTCCTGAGAAAGCTCTGCACTGGTGGTGCCCCGATCCCGCAGCTGAATCAACTTTAGGAGACGGTCCTGGCGCTTGCTGGACTTTCTTGGGCGCCCTGACGCCTTCTTCACAACAATTGAACCTCTCTCCTTGAAGTTCTTGATGATCCGATAAATGGTTGATTTAGGTGCAATCTTACTAGCAGCAATATCCTTGCCTGTGAAGCCCTTTTTGTGCAAAGCAATGATGACGGCACGTGTTTCCTTGCATGTAACCATGGTTCATAGAGGAAGAACAATGATTTCAAGCACCACCCTCCTTTTAAAGCTTCCAGTCTGTTATTCTAACTGAATCAGCATGACAGAGTGATCTCCAGCCTGTGTTAATGAGAGAATCACTGACATGATGGCAGCTGGTACTTTTGTGGCAGGGCTGAAATGCAGTGGAAATGTTTTTTGGGGGATTAAGTTCATTTTCATGGCAAAGAGGGACTTTAATTGCAATTCATCTGATCACTCTTCATGACATTCTGGAGTATATGCAAATTGTCATCATCAAAACTGAGGCAGCAGACTTTGTGAAAATTATTATTTGTGTCATTCTTAACTTTTGACCATGACTGTATATCCACTTCTACAGGCACAGTCTTTTACACAATGTATTGCACATCTGAAGACAATTGCAACAGAGGCTATATCAACATAGGGAGGAAATTGCCACACCATTCTTGCCTGGATACGGCAATGTCGTAGTAACAAACCCACTGTCCTACTACTGACCCAGACTCGTATTCATAAAGCAAAAACAAATAAAAGTAAAAGATCTAGGACCAGCTTTGCCTTTTAGATCATAATGAATAAGATTACATGGACAGGGGGGACCTGATCCTAGATCAGCACTCCTACTCTGAGACATTTTTTGAATAAGGTCCCTGGTGTACTGCCGACAGATATGTCTTTATACTAACATTAACTTCCTCATCTCCCCATTTAGGTTTCCATCTGATCCCGCGTCTGTCAGGTGTGGTCCCAGAGAGCTGCCTGCTGATCGTGGTAGGGCTGCTAGTGGGGGGGCTCATCAAGGTGATCGGAGAGGAGCCCCCAGTACTGGACTCACAGCTCTTCTTCCTGTGCCTCCTCCCTCCCATCATCCTCGATGCTGGCTACTTCCTGCCGATCCGGCCCTTCACAGAGAACGTGGGCACCATCTTGGTGTTTGCAGTGATAGGTAACTAAGCACTGACTGCTAAGCACTTTATTCCTCCAGTGCAATTTGTATACAGATGTATTTAGTGATATGTATTTGGTACTTTTATAATTCATGTTATCATGACATATTATGTGTAGTTAAACTGCCGCAACCCAATTTCCTTGCCTGGACCCAGATCTGTTTGTGCTATCATGTCAAACTCCTTGTCATGCCATGGGTATTATAATAATAATAATACTACTACTACTACTAGTGAAAATTCTATCAAATAATTCAGCCATCGCTGGTATTGATACCATGTAATATCGCTATATTGAAATAAACCATTGTCCGTGTCCGAAATATGGCTTGCCTACTACTTACTTAAACTGCATACTGTGTATACTAATCATAGTATACACTGTTTAGTAAAAAACTAATGGAGTAAGCAACAAATATCAACATTCTAGGCTCATCCTACTGAGAATGTGTCATCTAATGCGCAATGGCCTTGATTCCCGCCATTCGTTCGTTTTGGTACAGGGCGTCCCCTCAGCTAATTTATCAGCTGTTGCCAAACACACATGGGACTCGAAATACCATTCTCTTCCTCAATAGTGTGCTACGAATTCTACTGGATGAAAAGCCAAAATGAGCTGGCATTTAAAGCATACTAAATGTTAGAATTTCACATACTATAAAAGTTACTTTTTTCTCATACCCAAAATGCCTACGATTTAGAACGCAAGTACAGGTATTCGGACACGGCCATTCTCTTTCTATCTCTTTCAAGGTACCCTGTGGAATGCCTTCTTTATGGGGGGCTTGCTGTATGCCTTGTGCCAGATCGAGAGCGTCGGTCTGAGCGGAGTTGACCTGCTGTCCTGCCTGCTCTTCGGCTCCATCGTGTCGGCAGTGGACCCCGTGGCCGTGCTGGCTGTGTTCGAGGAGATCCATATCAACGAGCTGGTTCACATCCTGGTGTTTGGGGAGTCCCTTCTCAATGATGCTGTCACAGTGGTGAGTGTTAAGGAAGGGCTCTCCAACCAAGGTGCATGAATTGAGTAGCAAACTGAAGTAGAGAGTAAATTCAGCAACTATAAAAGGGCAGTGGATTGATAAAACCAGCGCGCTTCGGCCGTTAGCCTTCATCAGGGTTATTTGTCACAGTGGTGAGTGCAGATGGGGACGAATCAAACTAGAGGCCAAATACTGTTAGTTCACTCAGTTGCTGCCTTTGTGTTTCTGTGTACAATGTTGGCTTGCTTCCATCAACTCAAGTTAACATGACGGGATCTGTTTTGTTACTTTATTCCCATGCCAGCTGTGTAAATTCAGTGTTCATTTCCAGACCCGTGGCTAACGCCACCAGCCACCCCGCTTAACAGGCAGTCAGTGTTCTCACAGCTGAGGAGAATGAGCATAATCCATTTTCCATTAACCATGACGGTGCACTGTCCTCTCTGCTAGCGGCTAAAAGACCAAGTCCATATTATGGCAAGAACACACAATATATATAAAAGTATGTGGACACCCATTCAAATTAGTCGATTCGGCTATTTCAGCCACACCCGTTGTTGACAGGTGTATATAATCGAGCACACCGCCATGCAATCTCCATAGACAAACATTGGCAGTAGAATGGCCTAACTGGTGAGCTCAGTGACTTTCAACGTGGCACCGTCATAGGATGCCACCTTTCCAACAAGTCAGTTCGTCAAATGTCTGTCCTGCTAGAGCTGCCCCGGTCAACTGTAAGTGCTGTTATTGTGAAGTGGAAACGTCTAGGAGCAACAATGGCTCAGCCGGAAAGTGGTAGGCCACACAAGCTCACCGAACGGGACTGCCGAGTGCTTAAGTGCGTAGCTCGTAAAAATGGTCTGTCCTTGGTTGCAACACTCACTACCGAGTTCCGAACTGCCTCTGGAAGCAATGTCAGCACAATAACTAACTGTTCGTCGGGAGCTTAAAGAAATGAGTTTCCATGACCGAGCAGCTGCACACAAGCCTAAGATCACCATGTGCAATGCCAAGCATCGGCTGGAGTGGTGTAAAACTTGACGCCATTGGAAATACGTTCTCTGGAGTAATGAATTCACCATCTGGCAGTCTGACGGACGAATTTGGGTTTGGCGGATGCCAGGAGAACGCTACCTGCCCAAATGCATAGTGGAGGAGGAATAATGGTCTGGGGCTGTTTTTCATGGTTTGGATTAGGCCCCTTATTTCCAGTGAAGGGAAATCTTAATTCTGTGCTTCCAACTTTGTGGCAAAGGTTTGGGGAAGGCCCTTTCCTGTTTCAGCATGACAATGCCCCTGTGCACAAAGCAAGGTCCACACAGAAATGGTTTGCGTAGGTTGGTGTGGAAGAACTGGCCTGCACAGAGCCCTGACCTCAACCCCATCAAACACCTTTGGGATGAATTGGAACACCGACTGCGAGCCAGGCCTAATCGCCCAACATCAGTGCCTGACCTCACTAATGCTCTTGTAGCTGAATGGAAGCAAGTCCATTCAATGTTCCAACATCTAGTGGAAAGCCTTCCCAGAAGAGTGGAGGATGTTATAGCAGCAAAGGGGGGGGGGGGGACCAACTCCATGTTAATGCCCATGATTTTGGAATGAGATGTTCGACGAGCAGGTGTCCACATACTTTTGGTCATGTAGTGTAGATGGCATTTGGCTGTGGCTCACTCACCGGCTAACTGTATGTGTAAACATACATTAATAGATGCCGAATGTCAGTTTAGGTGCTTTTGGCAGGTGTAGATATTACTCAGCCAAATGGCTCTGACTCTATGCCAACCCAGCCCACTGATTCAGCTATCACCCAAACAGAGGCGGATGTTAGTTTAATGGAGCAGTAATGCAATGGGAGGGTATTTACTGCCTGGCGGTGATAATGGCCTCAGTGTTCCAAAAGACTGAGTAGCTGAGAGGGACTGATGCCAGCTTGGGTACATCCCAAATGGCACCCTATTCCCTACATAATGCAACCACTACTGGTCAAAAGTAGTGCACTGTATACTACGAATAAGGTGCCATTTGGGACTCAACCCTAGTATCTGGCAATTGTCTGAAGGATACCATTTAGATAGTACACATGTTGTTTACATACCATGTATAATCATGTTACCATTCAACCAATAGGTCAAGTGAAGCAAATGGATAATGTGTCTCAGCATAACAAGGGTGTATGGATATACTGGTGTAGTGGTTAGGAGACCCTTGGCTTGAAATCACGACTGATCAAGGATAACGTGAAGCAGAATCAAATCGACAACTGTAGCTAAATCTAGTTGATAGAATATTGCTATGTACTGGACATATAGCCTGTGTCCCAAATGGCACCCTATCCCCTATGTAGGGTGCCATTTGAGACTCACACATAGATCTCTGTGAATTTCCACTGACCCCTCCTTCGTCCCTCCATGCAGGTTCTGTACAACCTGTTTGAGGAGTTCTCCAAAGTGGGGACGGTCACCGTATTGGATGTGTTCCTAGGCGTGGTGTGTTTTTTCGTGGTGTCCCTAGGAGGGGTCCTGGTGGGGGCCATCTACGGCTTCTTGGCAGCCTTCACCTCTCGTTTCACCTCTCACACCCGTGTCATCGAACCCCTCTTCGTCTTCCTCTACAGCTACATGGCCTACCTCTCCTCCGAGATGTTCCATCTCTCTGGTATCATGGCGTAAGTAGCTATTTGACAGAGAACAGATGTGTATTGATAAGGAGATGGGACACTATTCGGTTGTGAATGGAGCATTATGGTTACTGTAGTACATCATGCTACAAGTTGAACTGACAAATGAACATGAAGTTACATTGAAAATCGTCTTGTACTCCCTTCCGTAGTTTGATAGCATGTGGGGTTGTGATGCGGCCGTATGTGGAGGCCAACATATCCCACAAGTCCTACACAACCATTAAGTACTTCCTGAAGATGTGGAGCAGCGTGAGCGAGACGCTCATCTTCATCTTCCTGGGCGTGTCCACTGTGGCAGGGCCGCATGCCTGGAACTGGACCTTCGTCATCACCACCGTCATCCTCTGTCTGGTGTCACGAGTACTGGGTCAGTATTATGCAAAATGCTAAATCTTTAAAGATTTCCATAAAAGTTACAGTAAAACAGATTAAATAAAAATTCTGAATAAAATGTTAAAAAACTAAATGTAAATACACTAACGTTAAAGTATAACTTTTTTCATCTGTTTCATTTTTACTTGGGGAAAAATGCATTTTATTGTATTTATTTTATCTGTCTGTGTATTTCAGGAGTGATTGGCCTTACGTTCATCATAAACAAATTCCGGATTGTCAAGTTGACCAAAAAGGACCAGTTCATTGTGGCCTACGGTGGCCTGCGAGGGGCCATAGCTTTCTCCCTGGGATACCTGCTGTCAAATAGTCACCAAATGAGGAACTTGTTCCTGACAGCCATCATCACTGTCATTTTCTTCACTGTGTTTGTGCAGGTGAGGCGGACAATCTGAATGATGCTCTAAAGCAGTGCTTCCCAACTCCAGTCCTCCAGTACCCCCAACAGCACACCTTTTTGTTGTAGCCCCGGACAAGCACACCTGATTCAACTTGTCAACTAATCATCAAGCCCTCAATGAGTTGAATCAGGCGAGTTTGTCCGAGGCTACAGCAAAAACGTGCTGTTAGGCAGTGGTGGAAAAAGTACCCAATTGTCATACTTGAGTAAAAGTAAAGATACCTTAATAAAAAATTACTCAAGTAAAAGTCACCCAGTACAATACTACTTGAGTAAAAGTCTAAAAGTATTTGGGTTTAAATGTACTTAAGTATCAAAAGTAAAAGGATAAATAATATACAATTCCTTATATTAAGCAAGCCAGACGGCACAATTTTTGTTGTATTTTTTTTTTTTTTACGGATAGCCAGGGGCACTCCAACAATCAGAAATAATTTACAAACAAAGCATTTGTATTTAGTGAGTCCGCCAGATCAGAGGCAGTAAGGATGACCAGGGATGTTCTCTTAATAAGTGTGTGAATTGGGCAATTGTCCTGTCCTGCTAAGCATTCAAAATGTAATGAGTACTTTTGGGTGTCAGGGAAAATGTATGGGGTAAAAAGTACAATATTTTCTTTACGAATGTAATGAATTATAAGTAAAAGTTTTCAGAAATAGTAATGTACAGATACCCCAAAAAATGACATAAGTAGTACTTTAAAGTACTTTTCCTTAAGTACTTTACACCACTGTTGTTGGGGGTACTGGAGTTGGGAAATACTGCTCTAAAGCGCAGGTGTCAAACTCATTCCATGTAGAGCCGAGTTTCTGCGGTTTTTGCTCCTCCCTTGTACTTGATTGAGCAATTAAGGTCACTGATTCGTTAGGAACTCCCCACACCTGGTTGTCTGGTTCTTAATAGGACACAACTTGAAATTCAAGGAAATAACAAAAATCAACAGACGCTTGCCCCTCCATGTAATGAGTTTTGACAGCCCTGCTCTAAAGTTCAAACAGTCCTTGTCTCTGCTCCAAAATGTTACTGTATATCTCTGAGAGTGTGAAACGGCACACTTTGAACTGCTAGTATAGACAAGGTTCACTTGACAACTAACTACTGCTTTTCTGGGTGTTTTCAGGGCATGACAATCAGGCCGCTGGTTGAGCTACTTGCTGTGAAGAGGAAGAAGGAGAGCAAGCCTTCCATCAACGAGGAGATTCACACAGAGGTAATCTCGAAAACCCAGAACCAAAATCTTGCGTAACTGCATCACCTATTTATGTTACGCACGTCTTTCCACTAGAGATTACACACGGGTGACGAGCAGTATTATTATAGTGTAGTATGGGTCCTTACATAGTACACTAAAGTTACTGCATGGTTAATCAGATAGACTTTGTAAACACTCCTTTTCTCTCTTAGTTCCTGGACCATCTCCTCACAGGCGTTGAGGGTGTCTGTGGGCATTATGGGCATTATCACTGGAAGGAAAAGTATGGATGCCATTGTGAAATAAACATATTAAAGGGATTGATATCGTTTTTTGGGCTGGAATAAAGCAGCCATTTTATTCTTCACACATCATGAAGTCTCTTCCTCTTTATCTATCTCCATCTTTCTCTCTCTCCATCCATCTCCCGTTCTTTCTGATTTTTCCCTCTTTCCATTCCTCTACTCTCCTCATGTCAGGCTTAACCGCTTCAACAAGACCTACGTGAAGAGGTGGCTTATAGCGGGCGAGAACTTTAAGGAGCCTGAGTTGATCGCCTTCTACCGCAAGATGGAGCTGAAGCAGGCTATTATGCTGGTGGAGAGTGGCCAGCTGCCCTCTGCTCTGCCCTCCACCATCTCCATGCAGTAAGTATTGGCTCCTATTTCTGTTTGTTTAACATTGCGATTTTATTTTATTTTAATATACAGTGAGGGAAAAAAGTATTTGATCCCCTGCTGATTTTGTACGTTTGCCCATTGACAAAGAAATTATCAGTCTATCATTTTAATGGCAGGTTTATTTGAACAGTGAGAGACAGAATAACCCCCAAAAAATCCAGAAAAACGCATGTCAAAAATGTTATAAATTGATTTGTATTTTAATGAGGGAAATAAGTATTATACCCCCTCTCAATCAGAAAGATTTCTGGCTCCCAGGTGTCTTTTATACAGGTAACGAGCTGAGATTAGGAACACACTCTTAAAGGGAGTGCTCCTAATCTCAGCTTGTTACCTGTATAAAAGACACCTGTCCACAGAAACAATCAATCAGATTCCAAACTCTCCGCCAAGACCAAAGAGCTCTCCAAGGATGTCAGGGACAAGATTGTAGACCTACACAAGGCTGGAATGGGCTACAAGACTATCACCAAGCAGCTTGGTGAGAAGGTGACAACAGTTGGTGCGATTATTCGCAAATGGAAGAAACACAAAAGAACTGTCAATCTCCCTCGGCCTGGGGCTCCATGTAAGATCTCACCTCGTGGAGTTGCAATGATCATGAGAACGGTGAGGAATCAGCCCAGAACTACACGGGAGGATCTAGTCAATGATCTCAAGGCAGCTGGGACCATAGTCACCAAGAAAACAATTGGTAACGCACTACGCCGTGAAGGACTGAAATCCTGCAGCGTCCGCAAGGTCCCTCTGCTCAAGAAAGCACATATACAGGGCCGTCTGAAGTTTTGAATGATTTAGAGGAGAACTGGGTGAAAGTGTTGTGGTCAGATGAGACCAAAATCGAGTTCTTTGGCATCAACTCAACTCGCCGTGTTTGGAGGAGGAGGAATGCTGCCTATGACCCCAAGAACACCATCCCCACCGTCAAACATGGAGGTGGAAACATTATGCTTTTGGGGTGTTTTTCTGCTAAGGGGACAGGACAACTTCACCGCATCAAAGGGACGATGGACGGGGCCATGTACCGTCAAATCTTGGGTGAGAACCTCCTTCCCTCAGCCAGGGCATTGAAAATGGGTCGTGGATGGGTATTCCAGCATGACAATGACCCAAAACACACGGCCAAGGCAACAAAGGATTGGCTCAAGAAGAAGCACATTAAGGTCCTGGAGTGGCCTAGCCAGTCTCCAGACCTTATTCCCATAGAAAAGCTGTGGAGGGAGCTGAAGGTTTGAGTTGCCAAACGTCAGCCTCGAAACCTTAATGACTTGGAGAAGATCTGCAAAGAGGAGTGGAACAAAATCCCTCCTGAGATGTGTGCAAACCTGGTGGCCAACTACAAGAAACGTCTGACCTCTGTGATTGCCAACAAGGGTTTTGCCACCAAGTACAAGGTCATGATTTGCAGAGGGGTCAAATACTTATTTCCCTCATTAAAATGCAAATCAATTTATAACATTTTTGACATGCGTTTTTCTGGATTTTTTTGTTGTTATTCTGTCTCTCACTGTTCAAATAAACCTACCATTAAAATTATAGACTGATCATGTCTTTGTCAGTGGGCAAACATACAAAATCAGCAGGGGATCAAATACTTTTTTCCCTCACTGTACTTCATTTCTTTCCTGGAGTGCAGCCCGTCCTTAGTACTTATCATCCATGCAGTAAGAGTTAGGGCCCATTACTGTCCACATCCACTCCTCTCCACCAGAGGCCACTGTTGGCTTCAGCGTAAATTATAGTCCACAGACACTAGGACGCGAAAGTCCGGCGTCTCATTGTGACATAGCTACGCGGCTTTCAGACCACCATCCGCGGTGGACGCACAGCCCGAACGCGCACCTCCCCAAAATTCCCAACCAACGTGTCTCCGGTACACATCCTCTATTCATTTGAATGTGTTGACAGTTGGAGAAATTGCTTGAGCTGTGCTGAGAATTCGCAAAGTATGAAAGCCAACAGTCCAATATTCTAGAACACTGCTGTGCATATATGTACACATTTGGTACTCTGATAGACCCTTTAGCCTAGTCCCAGATCTGTTTGTGCTGTCTTGCCAACTCATTTGGTCATTGTCATGCAGTGTAACAATGACCAGGAGTTGGCAAGACCGTACAAACCAACCTGGGACTAGGCTATGCTAACAGTGGCCTGTCTGTTCCTGACAGTGGTGTGATGGCGTTTTGGTCATATCTTTGTAATATGTGTCTCCCTAGGAACATCCAGCCCAGAGCGATTCCACGGGTCTCTAAGAAACGGGAGGAAGAGATCAGAAGGATCCTGAGGTCCAACCTGCAGAACAACAAGCAAAAGGTAAGTTACAATGAATGAATTTGCTTGAAGTTGAATGTCTGAAGGGAAATTAGGTTTGCCACCAGAGGAAGACAGAAAAACAGGATATGCACACAGGCATACCCTCCCTGCCTCTTACACTGAGTTTCATTGTTTTTGTGGAAAGTATGACGTCCCTTTACCGGCTCATGTGCAGACCGAGCTCTGTTACAGTTTCTTAGATATTATCCCCAGGCAGCAAGCAACTCCATTTTCACATCCAGTTCCTTGTTTCCCCAGATGCGCAGCAGATCCTACAGCAGACACACTTTGTTTGACGCCGATGAGGAAGACGACGTGAGCGAGGTGCGCCTACGGAAGACGAAGATGGAGATGGATAGGAGGGTCAGTGTGATGGAGAGGAGGGTAAGTGTGATGGAGAGGGAGGGTCAGTGTTTGGATTAGACCCCAGTCCAGTGTTCTTTCTTGACCACGGCTATGTCTCCAACCTTGCAGAGATTTTGCCTCATTGCAATAATGAAGCGTATTTGTGACATTGTAACAATATTGTTTCTGCAGATGAGCCATTACCTCACTGTCCCAGCCAACCGGGAGTCACCTAGGCCTGGAGTCAGACGAGTCAGGTTTGAATCAGGTCAGTCAGTCTAACACACCTGGGTCGTATTCATCAGGGCACACCGCAGCACAATATTGTAGAATGTATCATGAAAACAAGCATTTCTTATTGGACTAAGTTCAGATATTACCTCCCTGTTTCGGCCCATTTTCTTCTGTTTCGTCCCCTGTTGCTTCTGTCCGTCACTGAAGCTGAAACGGTTATAATTCGTACAAAATGTATATATCCATATTATGTTGTCATATTCAATATGAATATAAATATGCAGTAGAAAGAGTTCAGATTTGTCAAGTAAATGTTGATAACAGACCTGGGGCAACTAGTTTTAACTATGCTTTGTGGAAAGTAACTTTTTTGAGGGGAACAAATAGTTACTTCAAATAGGAACTATTTGAATATACAGATCCCAAAAAATGACTACTTTTTAAAACTATTTGAAATCCGATCCCAAAAAATGACAATTAAAAAAAACTAATATTTTAATACAGATCTGAGAAAGCAACTACTTTTCTGAAACTATTGGTTTGGCTGCCTTCAACTAATGTTGAAGATAGAAATAGAATGAATAGAGCACACACAATCTCCTCTACGATTCCAATGTATCTGACAGTCATATCTGATCTACACAATACATTTCTATCTGAACATTTTGTAAATGTTAATTCTCCTGAATGTCCATTGCCCCAGGTGTACATAATCAAGTCAAAAAAAATGACTAAGAATATTTTGTACAGATGGGATAAATAAGTTGTGATTCTCCATTACTGTATGATTCTTTCAACATGCCACTGAAATCTGCAATTCATTTTATGATACCTGAAAATACTGCAGAGTAATTCAAACATGATTTTCAACCTACCTTAGCTGTATTTGATTCAAGAGGGCAGTTTTGCGATATTTTGTTTCCTTTTGACACTGAATAGCCATATTTTGTTATTGTTAGCATTCTCAGTAACACTTAACATTAAACTGTTCTTGTGTAATAAAACTGTAATTACTTTTGGAGCAACATTTATTACCATGTTACATAATACTTTGGTAATTGCATTTTATTTGCATAGCAATGAGCTGAGTTTTTGTAACTACTGTACACGAGGAATAGTGACTTATTTATTCTACTTATGTAATAACTCCATTATGAACATATTTGTTCGTCATTTTGAAGCTGCAAATGTGGTCTACTGTAATTTGAGGTCATTCTATGCTATAGGCTATATTAAGATTAATATCTTAGAGCCCTCCAAACCATGTGCTATTGATCATATATTTAGACTAATTCAACTAACTGTTGTAGTTTTTTGGTTCTTCATCAAATATTTGGAAGCCACCTAATATTTATTTTTGTAATAACTTCAAATACATTAAAATATGATTTGGTTTTCTGAGAGGTATTCAAAATACTTTCAAATATGATTTTTTCTGAGACCTGTATTTGAATATCAAAGAAACTAGTTGCCTTTTAGTTGAAAATCTATATGAACTATATTCGACTACCTTGAGTATTTGAAAAGTTGGTATTTTAAAATAAAATACAACAATTTTCTGTCAAGCTCTGGTTGATAATACTTCTTCCTACTTTCTTTCTTCAAGACAACCAGGTTTACAGTGCTGACAGTGTCCCTACTGTCCACTTTGTGCAGCCTTCCCCTCTCAGCACACCTGACGCTGTCAGCTTAGAGGAGGAGGTACCCAAGAGGCCTAGCCTGAAAGCAGACATAGGAGAACCCAGAGGTAATGCATCAGACAACCACCAGGGAGAGCTGGACTACCAGAGACTAGCGCGATGTCTGAGCGACCCCGGTCCCAATAAAGACAAGGAGGAGGACGATCCCTTCATGTCCTGTTAAAGATCTTTTAAACTATAGCGCATCAAATTGGGAGAATAATAGGACTCCACTGTTTCAGAAGCACCTTAATTCTCCTCTGGCACTTACTTGTATGAGATGGAGATTTTTCAAAGGCAACATCTCAAAGTATCTAATGTATTGAAGGACATTTCTAATTTATGTCAGTGCCATTATTGTTGTATTTCTCATGTTTGGGTCAGTGTTCTTTGCTATTTTTGTGATGTAAGATAATGTGAATAATTTGCCAATGGTTCACATACCCATTTTTCAATATCATGAAAGCATGTGTCAAGATTTTTTTGGTTTTCAGAGTTTTTTTTTTTACATTGTTTTTGTGAAGTAAAATAATGCGGCTTCCTTTAGAAAGTAGGTGTTTGTCAGCACTTCTGTCTTAATACGTTTTTCACATGATAGTGATTCTCATTCACTTTGCTTGCATGAATGATACATATGTTTTCTCAGGGACTGCAACACAGGGTAGATGGTCAACTACCCTTAGCAGCCAGAAAACACACTCCTGGTAACTATATAAATACAAATGCAATTTCCAGTATGTCTTTTGACTGGATAAAAGCCTTTTCATAGTAAGCAAGTAACAAAATAGATTCCATATCACACGAAGTAATCGCACCTCATGCCTTGGCTCCATTGTATTTGGGGCTGTAACTGTCAAAATCAATTTTGACTTGTAAGTGATTGTTTTGTATGTTTAAAAAAAGAAACGGGTGTGCCAAGTTTAATAATTTTTATAAGAAAGACAATGTAGGCCTATTTAAAATGAAATGGGTTGAATTGTTAGTTTGTACTGAGAGGGAAAACAAGCTTTACAGATCACATGCATCAGAAAAAATGATGACTTCATGACTATGAGTTTAACAATAAAGTGCTTATAAAATAAAAATGTTTTGTTAGACATTTTAACAGTGGGATTTGAGGTAAAATAATTATAATATACTGCCATCAGGGGTTAGTATGTAGCTGAAGCCTGAAATTGATGAGTGAGAGGAGGGGGTGAGCACTTCTAGGCTACTGTACAGACCTGTGTGAAGCCCTTACCTACAGTGTGCACCTATGAAATGGGGTATCAGCCTACTCAGTGACACCCACAGAACACAACTATGTAGAGTTTACTCAAATATTAGTGTGATAGCTCTTACTGCAGGACACTGAAACCACTGTGAAATGAGCCACATTAGCTCACCAGTCAACCTGTTGTGTGTATTGAACATTCATATTGGACTGTTCAGCCTTACCTATAGAGCAGGGATGGGCAACTTTGATGGGGGTGGGGCCACAAAAAATCTGAACTCATCATGAGGGGCTGCAGTGGCTCACGGATCTGCTTACCCACATCCATACCCACACATGCAGTCAGAGCCGGCCCTAGCCTTTTGGGGGCCCAAAGTGAAATTTTGTTGGAGGGCCCCACCCCCCCACCTTGCTAGCAAAAAATGTTTGCGGCCCTCCTCTTGACAGCAGAGAGAAGTTTAAGAGTTTATTTCTTGCAATTCTACACATTTTGCCATGGGCATTAGAGAAAATGTTGCAGTTTTAAAGCAAGTTTGCAGCAATTCTACACATTTTGCCTAGGGGCAGAAAGAAGATTTTGCAGTTGTATAACTATACTAAACAAAAACATAAATGCACCATGCAACAATTTCATTGATTGTACTGAGCTACAGTTCATATGAGGAAATCAGTCAATTGAAATAAATTCATTAGCCCTAATCTATGGATTTCCCATGATTGGGAATACAGATACGCATCTGTTGGTTACAGATACCTTAAAAAATGGGCCTCACAATGGGCCTCAGGATCTCGTCACAGTATTTTTGTGCGTTCAAATTGCCATCGATAAAATGCAATTGTGTTCGTTGTCCGTAGCTTATGCCTGCCCATACCATATCCCCACCGCCACCATGGGGCACTCTGTTCACAACGTTGACATCAGCAAACTGCTCGCCCACACAACGCCATACACGTGGTCTGCAGTTGTGAGGCCGGTTGGACGTACTGCAAATTCTCCAAAACGATGTTGGAGGCTGCTTATGGTAGAGAAATGAACATTCAATTATCTGGCAACAGCTCTAGTGGACATTCCTGCAATCAGCATGCCAATTGCATTCTTAAAAACTTGAGACATCTGTGGCATTGTGTTGTGTGACAAAACTGCACATTTTAGAGTGGCCTTTTATTGTCCCCAGCACAAGGTACACCTGTGTAATGATCTTGCTGTTTAATCAGCTTCTTGATATGCCACACCTGTCAGGTGGATGGATTATCTTGGCAAAGGAGAAATGCTCACTAACAGGGATGTAAACAAATCTGTGCACAATTTGAGAGAAATAAGCTTTTTGTGTGCATAAAAAAATTTCTGGGTTATTTTATTTCAGCTCATGAAACATGGGACCAACACTTTACATGTTGCGTTCATATTTTTGTTCAGTGTAATTTCATGCAATTCTATTCATTTTGCCATGGGGTGGAGAGAGACTCACAGCTGTCATCGCTGCCAAAGGTGCTTCTACAAAGTATTGACTCAGGGGTGTGAATACGTATTTAAATGAGATATTTCTGTATTTCATTTTCAATACATTTGCAAAAATGTCTAAAAACATGTTTTCACTTTGTCATTATGGGGTATGGTGTGTAGATGGGTGAGAAATATATATATATTTTTTGAATTCAGGCTGTAACAAGAAAATGTGGAATAAGTCAAGGGCTATGAATACTTTCTGAAGGCACAGTGGGATTTGAACTGTTTTTATACTGTGTTTTATTAAATTTATTAAATCTATTTTTAAGTTATATAACAACATTCCAATCTTGTTTAGCATTCTCTAGTCCAAATATGGAGCCTAGCTGGGCTCCTCGCTTGTGCCATCAAACCCCTGCAACTTATCCAGCCCGCCTGGTCTTCAACCTTCCCATGTTCTCCCATGTCACCCCGCTCCCCTGCACACTCCACTGGCTTCCAGTCGAAGCTCGCATCCACTACAAGACCATGGTGCTTGCCTATGGAGCAGCAAGAGGAACTGCCCCTCCCTACCTTCAGGCTATGCTCAAACCCTACACCCTACACCCTACACCCTACACCCTAACCCGAGCACTCCGTTCTGCCACCTCTGGTCTCTTGGCCCTCCCACCCCTACTGAAGGGCAAAAAATATTCCACTATTTGTATCCGTTCATGTTTCAATGAGGGACTTTTATTTTGAAGCCGATCCGCAAATTCCACTATTGTGGCTAATCCTAATTGTGGCTAGATTCACACAGGTACTGTACAGCGTATCAGAATTCTGAACATGCTTGAGTGAACGAGACCTGCTTATGAATGGCTCGTGCATTCATAAAATCGCTATGACGGACGAGTGGGTGTTCTCTCCATACTCTGGGAAGATTTACCGTTGGAATTATACTCAAACAAAATAAGTTCAATTATTTTCTTTATGTTGTAACCGTCATGAGGGAAAATGTAAGGAGACAACAATTCACTTTAGTATCAACAATGTAGCTGTTGTGTTGGCAAACTGAGACGAGATGATTTTCAAAACGCTCGCAGGTAAAACTTCAGTCGTGGGGCTTCGTTTACCGCAGACATTTCTATTCTTACTCGTTCTCGGAAGTCTGGGGTTTGGAGCTTTGTTCTTTTTGCCTGAAACATCTCGTTTGAAACGTATTTTTCAACATAATTCGGACAGCTCGGCAGTTATCACCGACTCTGTGAATGGACAACGTGCACAGCCCATCTCACCCATTGGATATGGGCTCATTAGAGCCCCTCCGTTGGATATTGGAGTGCTACGTTCAAAATCACAACTTTCATCTTCAAATGGAAAACAGAGAAATAATAACAAGGGAAGGAGTCAAGGAACAGTTTCAATGGAACATATGTCTGAAGGTGACGCTGCCGACAACAAGGTGCATACAAGGGGCGTGGTCGTATCGAGTCGCGCGCGCTCACCTGTGAGGGTGAAGTTGAGGAATTGTATGCTGAAACCGCCATATGGCGCAAATTATGGCAAACCTAGTGATCCTGAATCTCTGCAGCGTCGGGAGAAAGTAAAAGAGGTAAGATTCGGTGGTAAGTGGTGGTGGTGATAGGCCAATGCATTGCCATATGGTAGCCTAATAGGATAGGATAACGCTTTTCTCCAGACAGGTTTATGTGGAGGCAGGAGGACAGTAATAGCTTGAGCAATCAATGTCTTTGAGCAAATAACTGTTAATGGCAACAACATGCTTGAGGCTATAGGTCTACTCAATAATTCACACTTTTAATTGAATTAGGATTTAATGTGCATTTTATACCAAATAGCCAAGATTCTAGCACAGCCCCCAGACTGAAAACGACATGTTGTCTCCTCACTGAGGGAATGCAGTTGGCATCTTTTTAAAAGCCAGACAAATTCATCAGTATATATATATCTCCAGATCAATAATGGTGCTGCATGGTAAGTGTGTGGGGGGCAGGGGTCATAAAGCCTACTGTACAGACCTCTTGCTGTAATGCTGGTTGATTGGCTGGGCTGCTCCATTCATCCAGACACTGGGGATATGTCACTAATGTCACCCTATTCCCTATATAGTGCACTACTTTTGACCAGAGTCCTATGGGTAGTAGTGCACTATATAGGGAATAGGGGCCATTTGGAACGCACATTGGGCCTCATTGTTCTGGGGCACAGGATCCTGACTGTCAAACATGATGATTCTCCTGACTTCAACAGTCATATCCGCTGTTCACCCTAGCCTTTACCTGACACTACTTATTACAAACATCTCCAAAGCCTCCCACACACACACACATACACACATACACACACAGCAACTAGGGGGGTGAATATTCCCACACACAACGTACAGTAGCTTCTTTCATTCAAACAGAGAATAGAGACATATTAATTACCCGGCAAGCTATTTGCAAAGCCCATGACTGTAGACCAACTGTAGACTGAGTGATCCATATTGCTATTCAGCCACGATTCTCCTGAATGAAACAGAAGCTTTTATTCTTTTGATCAGTTTTTCATAAATAGGGCTACTTACAGTCAAACAGAAGCTTTTATTCTTTTGATCGGTTTTTCATAAATAGGGCTACTTACAGTCAAACAGAAGCTTTTATTCTTTTGATAGTTTTTTCATAAATAGGGTTACTTACAGTCAAACAGAAGCTTTTATTCTTTTGATCGGTTTTTCATAAATAGGGCTACTTACAGTCAAACAGAAGCTTTTATTCTTTTGATCGGTTTTTCATAAATAGTGCTACTTACAGTCAAACAAGTTTTCTTTTATAGAAATAGATGGTCAAAACATCAGAAAGCTATTACAGTATCATATCAGTTAAGAATTGTACTGCCAGAGATTGGTCTTGGGTTCTTGTGCATTTCTTGGCAAGGAGAATGTGACTTATCTTTGGCCTCATTTGGATATTAATTGTGTGGAAGTATAAAATGACATTGACACGGCTGCAACAAAGTGAAACAAGCTTGAATGTCAACCTAAAACTCCTTCAATTTTTATACAAGGTCTTTCTTTCTTCCAAAGTTTCCTATCAATGGATGTTCTGTGTCATTTCAAACCCCTGGAGGGGAAATAGGGCCATCTGATACTTTATTGAAGGCAGATAATTCAGAGGTGCCAAAGATCCCATCCAGAATAGGTCATCTTGATTACAAAGGTCAACCCCAAGGCTTTTCCGGTGAAAGACCATGAGTAGGCCTATCTATCTTCCTCACTGGTACGGCTGTTTTGATGAATAAAGCAACACATCATCTCCAAAACTCATCTCTCCCTACTCTGTCCACCTGTCTCACACATTGTCCTATCACCACAAAAGCCAGAGCCAGTGTCAACAGAACTACAGCCTTTTTATTTTATTTTATTATTTTTCCCTAACGCAGTTACCTACAGTTACCTCAAGATAACTGCTAATCTATGCCAAGAGGTAATAAGAAACGAACTGATAAACAGTTACTGCTTATTGCAACTCACTGTTGGTAGATTGTTGACAAGGACTGCAGGCAGAGGAGTTGTTTAATGGAGTAGGTTATTCGCTCTTGAGATATAAACAGACATGTTAATTAGGCATATTGAGAAGCATATTATGCTAATATAATGTATAAGCCATTACATGCATTAGCCTAAACCATGTGAATAAGCAGGCTGAGGAGAGGAATGGATGTTGGTTGTTACTAATGTCACTGCTGGTTCCAGAGGGAGCCCTCGGATCACAGAGATTTGATGCTTGAATGACCTCATCCTATTGCAATAATATAATTTCATGGAGATTATGAAACGACTGCAATGAGCTGTTCAATTTTGATATTGAAGCTAATTAAAGGTTTTCATCTGTTTGTTTATTATGACTAAAACAAGTATACATATTTCACTGATATTCTACCACATGTATTTTTATTTCAGATGATGAAGTTTGCTTGGGACAACTATAAGCGCTACGCATGGGGGGAGAATGAGCTGCGACCTCTCTCCAGGAATGGCAATGATGGCAGGACATTTGGTGAGTAAATGGCTCCCTGGACGTACTATATGGCATTCCAGTACATTGCTTCTGAACATACTGTATCTACATGGAAGTTTACAAACTAATGTCTCTGCAGTCAATGTCTCTGCAGTCAATGTCTCTGCAGTGCAGTCCATAGCAGTTAATGTCTCTGGTCTGCAGTGCAGTCCATACTGTGTGTGTGTTTTGGTGTCACAGGTGGTTTAAGAGGTGCCTCTATCGTGGACTCTCTGGATACCCTCTACATTATGGGGCTTGGTGAAGAGTACCAGGAGGCCAAGGAGTGGGTGGAGAACAACCTGAACCTCAGTGTAGTAAGTGGGTCATTTTTCCCTTATTACAATTAATTCATGTTGTCAGTGGGGCTATACATAGGCCACTTTAGCTGTTTAAATCTAATCCAGAACAGCGTGCAGACAGGTTGGAGTTGGATAGTTGGATAGGGACGTCACACTGAGAATGCTGGACCTGCATATCAATCATGGTACAGGCATGGAGATTATGCCCCGCTGAGAAGAAAATGAAAAGCATCCTTAAATCACCCTGGAGCCAGACCTCCGACAGCTCGTCAGACAGAATAGAAAGTATCCCTTGTCTGTAATGAAAAGCAATCTCTCTCTCTCTCCCCGCTTCTCTCTCTCTCTTTTGCTCTCTCTCTCTCCCACAGGGTGGAGAGGCATCTCTGTTTGAAGTGAATATCCGCTACGTGGGTGGCCTGCTGTCTGCCTACTACCTAACAGGAGAGGAGGTGAGATCCATCCATCCATCATAGTTTATTCATCACATTTCTACATTTCTTAACAACGGTATTACTCAGGGCATAATGTCTCCCACCGTCATATGAAGCCTAAAGATATCTGTCTTCAGGAAAACAGCTCTACATCCTCTTGCCTGAGAATGTGGACGCTCAAATAAATGACCTAAGAGAATCAAAGAGAACCACCATCACATCTTTGGTTGATGTGTGCAGTTGTCAAAACGTATATATCCTAGAATGCATCGATCACGGACAGATTAGAGAATTCCATCAATACCACGCACACTACTGAAATTATATAGGTTGATTGAGTTCTGGAATTGATCCACGATCAATGCATTCTTTCTAGGAACTAAGCAGGCTCTGTCATAGAATGGTTCCATTGCAGTTGATCCATTGTGGGGATGGTCAGTTATCACAGCTGGGAACAGGATGAAGGACCAGACCAGGAAGTAATTAAGAAGACCGTTTTAGGGCCCAGTTGTGCCTTCTCTAATTAAACAGTGGCTTAAAATCTGGGGCTCAGAGTCAAGTGTCTCAGAGTAGGAGTGCTGATTTAGGACCAGTTTAGCCTTTTAGATTACAATGATTACGATAACATGGACATGGGGAACCTGATCCTAGATCAGCACTCCTACTCTGAGACGATTGACACATACGGCCCCCGGTATGAATGTTGGGAGGACATTCAACACCATGGACAGCTCCCAACAGCCTGTGTTTTTCTCCTTGTATGGTGATCAATTACACTGGGTGAGATTACAATATATTTTCAGATAACCATGGCAACATGACTACCAGTATTGCCTTCCTCTGCCAGAGCACTTTTCTTCACAACGATGTGCTCTCAGTTCTTGATGTGAATACATGGCTGTGCAATCTCAAGGACACTTGTTCAAGCCTTAATAATCCAGCTCTCTCTTTACAATTATTTATCTTGATAGTCTTTTCAGAAATGAAAGAAAACATAAGATACTCATCATCACAGTCCCAGTTTCATTCAATCCTGCAGATAGTTTTCTCAGACTTTTATATTGAGGGTTAATCAAGACTGCTTGTTTGTGGTTGCTGGCTGCTTTGTTCTCAGACAGAGGCAGTAATTGGTTTAGAAGAATGCAGCATTTCAGACAGCCAGAACACTGCTACAGGCTCAAGGTGTCCCAAGCTCATCTTTGACTCCAGCTTTGAACTTTGGCTTTACTTTGGTGAAAATCTTTATTTTAGCTGCATGGCATATTTTGTAAGTTGTGCTTGTGGATCATTAGATACTACTTATGTGGTCCACCTGGATACTAGGGCCGGGACGATACCAGTATCGAGATACTTGTTAGTATCGTGGCAAGGAAACAAAACACGAAGAGGGATTTAACTTCTTTAGGAAAACAGCCCTAATGTTGGAAACAAACATCATTATGTTGTCATCCAGAGTCACATGTATTTATTTTCCAAGCTATAGAACACAATATTTTACATAAAGCAGGTTTTAAAGGACCAAAGAGTTTGGTCTGCTTTGTGTTTTCATTTTTGCTATGGAGTAAATATTGTGATACTGGTATCGTCGCAGCCCTACTGGATATAACAAGGAGAGTCATTAGGCACCTTTCCTTTGGGGACATGCTGGACAGGAAACATTAAATGGGACACCAACTTTGCCACAGCTGGAGCCTATTAAAACTCCCTGAAAAGTGATACACTGAAAATGTGGTTTCAGCATAGAAGAAAAGCTTGAACTAGATGCAGTCTACTTGGATACACTTATAACTGAATTGCAAAAAAATCTAGTCGAGGAAGACAAAAGGTGAACTACAATGAGGACTACAACACCCCTCCCCTTTTCTTGTCCCTTGCCAAACCCCACCCGCAACCAGACAGACACTGAGAAGAGGGCATGAAGCCCTGAGCTGTCCCATAAAGTCACACATCTACTACTTTAGATTAACTGAACTGAACTGAACTGAACTGACTCAACTGAGCTGTCTCAACTGAACTGAACTGGACTGATCTGAACACCTGTCTTGTCTCTCCAGGTGTTTAAAAGGAAAGTGGTGGAGCTGGGGAGAAATCTGTTACCTGCCTTCAACACTCCCACAGGCATCCCACATGGAGTTGTCAACCTGGCCGGGTGGGTAGAATTTCCTAGTCGGGTATACAATACCTCTTCTGCTGGAGCAGGGTAGTCTTCACTGAAGCAATATACGTAAACTGACACATTGTAGCTATGCTGTTGTAGGTAGCGTAATTCTTGGACTGTGTAAATAGATTGCAGGACTATATATCGTCATCTAAGTAGTTGCAGTGTGTCATCATGTGTTACACTTGATGAACTCTGGATTGATCAAATACCGGTAATGCTATTAAAACCACAGTGGAAGAGACATTTGGATCGGAGGGAGAGAGAGAATCCATCCTGTTCATCTTTACTCTAAATGCATTTTCACTGCAGAAGTGAGAGTCAATATATTCAGTTTTGCCTGATGGCCCAGCTCTCTCTCCTAGTCCCTAAGGAAAGTAGGTGTGAAGTGAGTGAGAAGTGTGAAGCAATCTGCCATGGCCATTAGAGCAAGGGGAAGCTAAGCTGATGCTTCTGGCAGCCTGTCAGCTTCCCTCTCCCCAGCTGTCAATCAAAGGCTTATCTGGGATCGATGTGTCAGGTGTCTGGGAATGACAGAGGCTCAGAGTGGGTGAAGATCAACATCCCCTCCTCCATATCTAAATATAGGATATTATGGAAGTGAATGAGGAACAGGTCTAGGAAGAAGACAAAGACTAACGGGTCAGGATCTGCTCCTCATCTATAGCAGAATAGACTCTTGTCATCATGATTATTCTCCAGGTTCTTTTATCAGAAAGACAAAATAATATTTCAGACATGAACCGTGCTGTCTGCTGACAACTGGACAAAAATAAGGATATCCAAGACACAACTATAGATTGTCTCAGCCTATGATGTTAATTCTATCCAATCAACACTTTTCTGTCACAACAAGTACCTATTGTCCCAGCCAATCAAGGCTTGTCACAATCAGAAATGATTATTCTGGGTGATCAAAGCTGGTTAGAGCTTACCACATATAATTCTGTCTGACTACAGCTATCTCCAATAACACTGTGAAATAATATGCCTGTGAAATTACTCATTTTAGGGCCACACACTGATATTTCCGCCATGTACAGTGGCAAGAAAAAGTATGTGAACTCTTTGGAATTATCTGGATTTCTGCATAAATTGTTCATAAAATTGATCTGATCTTCATCTAAGTCACAACAATAGACAAACACAGTGGGCTTACACTAATAACACATACATTATTATATTTTTCATGTCTATATTGAATACATCATTTAAACATTCACAGTGTAGGTTGGAAAATGAATGTGAACCCCTAGGCTAATGACTTCTCCAAAAGCTAATTGGAGTCAGGAGTCAGCTAACCTGGAGTCCAATCAATGAGACGAGATTAGAGATGTTGGTTAGAGCTGCCCTGCCCTATAAACATTTTTGAGTTTGCTATTCACAAGAAGCATTGCCTGATGTGAACCATGCCTCGAACAAAAGAGATCTCAGAAGACCTAAGATTAAGAATTGTTGACTTGGATAAAGCTGGAAAGGGTTACTAAAGTATCTCTAAATTCCTTGATGTTCATCAGTCCACGGTAAGACAAATTGTCTATAAATGGAGACAGTTCAGCACTGTTGCTACTCTCCCTAGGAATGGCTGTCCTGCAAAGATTACAGCAAGAGCACAGCGCAGAATGCGCAATGAGGTTAAGAAGAATCCTAGAGTGTCAGCTAAAGACTTACAGAAATCTCTGGAACATGCTAACATCTCTGTTGACGAGTCTATGATACGTAAAACGCTAAACAAGAATGGTGTTCATGGGAGGACACCACGGAAGAAGCCACTGCTGTCCAAAAAAAACATTGCTGCACGTCTGAAGTTCGCAAAAGAGCACCTGGATGTTCCACAGTGCTACTGACAAAATATTCTGTGGACAGATTAAACAAAAGTTGAGTTGTTTGGAAGGAACACACAATACTATGTGTGGAGAAAAAAAGGCACAGCACACCAACATAAAAACCATCCCAACTGTAGAGTATGGTGGATAGAGCATCATGGTTTGGGGCTGCTTTGCTGCCTCAGGGCCTGGACAGCTTGCTATCATCGACGGAAATAAATGAATTCCCAAGTTTTATCAAGACATTTTGCTGGAGAATGTAAGGCTATCTGTCCACCAATTGAAGCTCAGCAGAAGTTGGGTGATGCAACAGTACAACAACCCAAAACACAGAAGTACAGTGGGGGAAAAAAGTATTTAGTCAGCCACCAATTGTGCAAGTTCTCCCACTTAAAAAGATGAGAGAGGCCTGTAATTTTCATCATAGGTACACGTCAACTATGACAGACAAAATGAGAAAAAAAATCCAGAAAATCACATTGTAGGATTTTTAATGAATTTATTTGCAAATTATGGTGGAAAATAAGTATTTGGTCAATAACAAAAGTTTCTCAATACTTTGTTATATACCCTTTGTTGGCAATGACACAAGTCAAACGTTTTCTGTAAGTCTTCACAAGGTTTTCACACACTGTTGCTGGTATTTTGGCCCATTCCTCCATGCAGATCTCCTCTAGAGCAGTGATGTGTTGGGGCTGTCGCTGGGCAACACAGACTTTCAACTCCCTCCAAAGATTTTCTATGGGGTTGAGATCTGGAGACTGGCTAGGCCACTCCAGGACCTTGAAATGCTTCTTACGAAGCCACTCCTTCGTTGCCCGGGCGGTGTGTTTGGGATCATTGTCATGCTGAAAGACCCAGCCACGTTTCATCTTCAATGCCCTTGCTGATGGAAGGAGGTTTTCACTCAAAATCTCACGATACATGGCCCCATTCATTCTTTCCTTTACACGGATCAGTCGTCCTGGTCCCTTTGCAGAAAAACACCCCCAAAGCATGATGTTTCCACCCCCATGCTTCACAGTAGGTATGGTGTTCTTTGGATGCAACTCAGCATTCTTTGTCCTCCAAACACGACGAGTTGAGTTTTTACCAAAAAGTTATATTTTGGTTTCATCTGACCATATGACATTCTCCCAATCCTCTTCTGGATCATCCAAATGCACTCTAGCAAACTTCAGACGGGCCTGTACATGTACTGGCTTAAGCAGGGGGACACGTCTGGCACTGCAGGATTTGAGTCCCTGGCGGCGTAGTGTGTTACTGATGGTAGGCTTTGTTACTTTGGTCCCAGCTCTCTGCAGGTCATTCACTAGGTCCCCCCGTGTGGTTCTGGGATTTTTGCTCACCGTTCTTGTGATCATTTTGACCCCACGGGGTGAGATCTTGCGTGGAGCCCCAGATCGAGGGAGATTATCAGTAGTCTTGTATGTCTTCCATTTCCTAATAATTGCTCCCACAGTTGATTTCTTCAAACCAAGCTGCTTACCTATTGCAGATTTAGTCTTCTCAGCCTGGTGCAGGTCTACAATTGTGTTTCTGGTGTCCTTTGACAGCTCTTTGGTCTTGGCCATAGTGGAGTTTGGAGTGTGACTATTTGAGGTTGTGGACAGGTGTCTTTTATACTGATAACAAGTTCAAACAGGTGCCATTAATACAGGTAACGAGTGGAGGACAGAGGAGCCTCTTAAAGAAGAAGTTACAGGTCTGTGAGAGCCAGAAATCTTGCTTGTTTGTAGGTGACCAAATACTTATTTTCCACCATAATTTGCAAATACATTTATTACAAATTCTACAATATGATTTTTTGAAAAAAAAATCTCAATTTGTCTGTCATAGTTGACGTGTACCTATGATGAAAATTACAGGCCTCTCTCATCTTTTTAAGTGGGAGAACTTGCACAATTGGTGGCTGACTAAATACTTTTTTTCCCCACTGTAGGTGTTCTTCTTGACCTATTGGGGCAGTAAGCAAATTGAAGTGGGTCTAGGGTGACAGGTAAGGTGGAGGTGATATGATCCTTGACTAGTCTCTCAAGGCACTTCATGCCACATTTAAAGGTAATGAATTTTTACCGTTTAAATTGCATCTTTATTGTTAAGCCTATATAAAAAAAAAAATCTATACAGAGACCCTTGAATGTCATGGTGTAATTCAGTTAACCAAACAGTATTAGTAACTTAACCTTCACATTTCAACTAATGTAGAATTTGCAAATTGGAAAAAAAACATTTTTTAAACACATTTCTGAATGTGCCCAATGCATAATGTACAGTGGTGTGAAAAAGTGTTTGCCCCCTTCCTGATTTCTTATTTGTTTGCATGTTTGTCACACTTAAATGTTTCAGATCAAACAAATTTAAATATTAGTCAAAGATAACAAAATGCAGTTTTGAAATGAAGGTTGTTATTATTAAGGGAAAACAAAATCCAAACCCACATGGCCCTGTGTGAAAAAGTGATTGCCCCCTACAACCTAATAACTGGTTGGGCCACCCTTAGCAGCAACAACAGCAATCAAGTGTTTGCGATAACTTGCAATGAGTCTTTTACAGCGCTGTGGAGGAATTTTGGCCCACTCATCTTTGCAGAATTGTTGTAATTCAGCCACATTGGAGGGTTTCGAGCATGAACTGCCTTTTTAAGGTCATGCCACAGCATCTCAATAGGATTCAGGTCAGGACTTTGACTAGGCCACTCCAAAGTCTTCATTTTGTTTTTCTTCAGCCATTCAGAGGTGGACTTGCTGGTGTGTTTTGGATCATTGTCCTGCTGCAGAACCCAAGTTCGCTTCAGCTTGAGGTCACGAACGGATGGCCGGACATTCTCCTTCAGGATTTTTTGGTAGACAGCAGAATTCATGGTTCCATTTATCACAGCAAGTCTTCCAGGTCCTGAAGCAGCAAAACAGGCCCAGACCATCACACTACCACCACCATATTTTACTGTTGGTATGATGTTCTTTTTCTGAAATGCGGTGTTACTTTTACGCCAGATGTAATGGGACACACACCTTCCAAAAAGTTCAACTTTTGTCTCGTCAGTCCACAGAGTATTTTTCCAAAGGTCTTTGGGATCATCAAGATGTTTTCTGGCAAAAATGAGACAAGCCTTAATGTTATTTTTGCTCAGCAGTGGTTTTCGTCTTGGAACTCTGCCATGCAGGCCGTTTTTGCCCAGTCTCTTTCTTATGGTGGAGTCATGAACACTGACCTTAACTGAGGCAAGTGAGGCATGCAGCACTTTGGATGTTGTTGTGGGGTCTTTTGTGACCTCTTGGATGAGTCGTCGCTGCGCTCTTGGGGTAATTTTGGTCGGCCGGCCACTCCTGGGAAGGTTCACCACTGTTCCATGTTTTCACCATTTGTGGATAATGGCTCTCACTGTGGTTCGCTGGAGTCCCAAAGCTTTAGAAATGGCTTTATAACCTTTTCCAGACTGATGGATCTCAATTACTTTCTTTCTCATTTGTTCCTGAATTTCTTTGGATCTCGGCATGATGTCTAGCTTTTGAAGATCTTTTGGTCTACTTCACTTTGTCAGGCAGGTCCTATTTAAGTGATTCCTTGATTGAGAACAGGTGTGGCAGTAATCAGGCCTGGGTGTGGCTAGAGGAATTGAACTCAGGTGTGATAAACCACAGTTGAGTTGTGTTATAACAGGGGGGGCAAACACTTTTTCACACAGGGCCATGTAGGTTTGGATTTAGTTTTCCCTTAATAATAACAACCTTCATTTCAAAACTGCATTTTGTGTTTACTTGTGTTTATCTTTGACTAATATTTAAATTTGTTTGATGATCTGAAACATTTAAGTGTGACAAACATGCAAACAAATAACAAATCAGGAAGGGGGCAAACACTTTTTCACACCACTGTATGTGTTATTGCTGGTACAACTTCTACAGGACAGTGGGCAGTTTTCAAATGTTACATTTCTCTTGCCTGGCTACCCAGACTCCTTGCTCCGGCCAAACGCTATGACAAACCCACGGACTTCTCCGAAATGGGTCTGGATCTGAGTACCCCCCCACCCCCCCCACCCCCGACCCTTCACCGAATGTGAATACATTGGGGGCCGTCTGATTGGTCCAGAAACAGATGGGTTGGGACACACGTCGGTAAAGTGGCTGTTTGAAAAATCGTAATTGGCTTTGATACTCTGATTGGTTAGAGACGATCCAATCGCTCCTCGTCACCACAAACAACTTCAATGATGGCAGTCTCAGACTATAGTATGTAGCAAATGACAGAGCAGCGGAAGAATTGTGTGAGTCGTCAGGCTAGCATTTCTCGCTCATGTCTGTTCCTGTGTTAGTGATTCCAGGAGGTCAACCGGAGGGGATTTAGGGAGGAGCAGTGTTCTAGCAGAGTTTGGAACCCTGCATCTGGAGTTTGTTCACCTGTCAGAACTTACCAAGGATCCCATTTATACAGAGAAAGTGAGTGCTGTAACTCTACGAGCTTCACATATATAATGCTTTTGTTTTGAAGGCTTTGAAACCAGATGTCTTGTGAAAATAACACGTGCTTCAAAAGAATACCCAATATTGACCTCAACTGTTAAATACATGAACTCATTTTTTGTCTCTCTCGCTGTCTGTCTTCTCTACACCCTCAGGTTATGAATATTAGGAAACATCTGAACCAGCTGGACAAGCCACATGGCCTCTACCCAAATGCTCTCAACCCAGTCAGTGGGAATTGGGAACAGCGTAAGTCACTATCTGACTATTGAGTGATTGTAGTCCTTCATTAAACTAAGAGGGATTACATTGTTCTTTGATGTTATTGTCCTGTCTGAAAACAGCCACGTGTGTTATATGGCATGGCAGATCATGCGTTATGTCTTGTATTTTTTAGATTATGTCTCCATTGGGGCCCTTGGTGACAGCTTCTACGAGTATCTAATAAAATCCTACCTGATGTCAGACAGGACGGATGAAGTTGCTAAAAGGATGTACTATGCTGCTCTGGAGGTACACTTACAGTATAAGGTTGCATGCTATAACCACATAATGCTATAACAGCAGAAAAGCAATAGGTGAAGCATGAGAACAAGAACAGAACCATAGAACAAGAACAGAACCATAGAACAAGAACAGAACCATAGAACAAGAACAGAACCATAGAACAAGAACAGAACCATAGAACAAGAACAGAACCATAGAACAAGAACAGAACCATAGAACAGAGCAGCAAAAGGGAAGAGAGGACGTGAAAAGAGGCAAAGACATTTGATGAAAAAAATGTTTTCATGGATATATCACGTTTTAGAATGAAACTCTTCACATGTTGTTTACTAATGATACCCATCTACTGTACACTGCTTTAGGCAATAGAGAAGAACCTAGTACAGAGGTCTCCTGGGGGGCTGATCTACGTGGCTGAGTGGAGAGGGGGTATACTAGACCACAAAATGGGTCACCTGGCCTGCTTCTCTGGAGGGATGATCGGGATCGGGGCTGAACACGGCAGTCCAGAGACCAGGCAGCACCAACTGGACCTGGCTGCTAATATCACCCATACCTGCCACGAGTCCTACAGACGTACACGTAAGAGCACATCTAGATATACTCAGAACCCAGTTTAAAGCCCAATTAGATGCCTTACAGGGTGTTGTAATTGACATGCTGTCATGGCATAACCACAATTCGTTAGTTAAAGTCTGAACCGTTTTTACTATAGGACCCCACAAAGAGGATGGATTCAAAATGAATCACCATTAGTTAATGCTTTTTTAATTACGTTTTTATTTATTTGGCTTTTCAGTATTTTACAGGCGAAGGGCGAAAACAAACAACAAATCCTCTACCACTCTCAATCCCATGCTCCAACAAAGCCCCATCCCCAATCCCAACCAGAAATGGCATTACATCATTAGTTCATGCTTGACAGGTTTAATAGTTAGTTAGTCACATGTAAAGGTGTTAACAGTAAGAATCCACTAAGAGGATGGACTAATGATGAATTACCATTAGTTAATACTTAACAAGCTTTCCTAAATAGCACGACCAATAACAAAACAATAACAATGTCACATCTTTTACATAACATTAACTAACATTACACATTGTATTCAATTTCATTGCCTTTGATATTTACATGCCACAATTAAGTAACATGGCAACTTATATACAATGTCATTGTATGTGAAAAGGTGTCACCCTGACCTGTCTGAAGGATGTGTTGGTGTCACCCTGATCTCTCCGAAGGATGTGTTGGTGTCACCCTGATCTCTCTGAAGGATGTGTTGGTGTCACCCTGATCTCTCTGAAGGATGTGTTGGTGTCACCCTGATCTCTCTGAAGGATGTGTTGGTGTCACCCTGATCTCTCTGAAGGATGTGTTGGTGTCACCCTGATCTCTCTGAAGGATGTGTTGGTGTCACACTGATCTCTCTGAAGGATGTGTTGGTGTCACACTGATCTCTCTGAAGGATGTGTTGGTGTCACCCTGATCTCTCTGAAGGATGTGTTGGTGTCACCCTGATCTCTCTGAAGGATGTGTTGGTGTCACCCTGATCTCTCTGAAGGCCTGTGTAGGTGTCACACTGATCTCTCTGAAGGATGTGTTGGTGTCACCCTGATCTCTCTGAAGGCCTGTGTAGGTGTCACCCTGATCTCTCTGAAGGATGTGTTGGTGTCACCCTGATCTCTCTGAAGGCCTGTGTAGGTTTCATCCATATCTCTCTGAAGGCCTGTGTAGGTGTCATCCAGATCTCTCTGAAGGCCTGTGTAGGTGTCACTTCTGACATCACTTCCTCATCTGACATCACTTCCTGCTTCTCCTCTTCAGTGTACAGTATATGAGAACTGAAGCTTTAGTAGCCAGGACAACCCCCACCACAGCCAGTACATAAAACAAAACAGACACTGCGAAGACACACCCGTGTTAAGATCCAAGAGGGTAGAGTTCTGAGCTCCTATCTCGTTCTCAGTCGTACAGTTGTACTGATCATGTCTCCCAGACTGACAGTGGGGATGATGTACTGTTCTCTTCCTTCTCCTGTCTGTACGACGCTCACTTCAGTCCCATTGCTCATGTACCAGGTGTAAAACGTCACTGGTGGGTTGGCATCACTGCTGCAGCTCAGAGTCACCGACTGCCCTCCTCTCTTTCACCACTGACTGACACTGAAGTGTTCTTGGGGCCATATTTCACAACGGGTGTACCTCCAATGGGAGATTCTCAAAGCCTCTTACAATACAGAAGTAGCTGCCTGCATGCTCTTTTCTGACTGCCTGTAGAAACGTGACCTTGGACTTTGTTCTTGACCCGACTTTGTTCTCATACAAAAAGAAGTAACTGAAGTTTGGACAGGAAGTCTTGCAGGAAGGAGATCAGGACTGATTCTCCCTCCTTTGCAATGTGAGGTGTAACTTTTACTTGTATGTTTGTGACAGACAGATTGACCCCAAATGGATCATGGTATGTTGTACCCCCTTGCGTTTTAAACGTGAATTTGTAATAACCTGAATCAGTCTCTCTCAGGTTGGTGATTCTCAGGGTGCAGTCTTTCTCCTTGTTACCATGGTACTCTTCCCGATCCGGAAAGTCCAATTATTTAAAAAAGATTTTTGACCAGATTGTGTGATGGTTTGATTACTGGGGTAATGTGTAATTGCAAGGGATTTTGACAGGTGTCTCGATGAAGGCACAGATGGTCTTGTGTTTATTACATCCCAGCAGTTACCAAGGAGACATGCAGGAGAGTGGAGATCCTCACATGCTTTTACAGCACAGGAGTAACTGCCTGTTCCTTACTGCAAACTGGGTCTAGGTACAGGCTGATATTCAGGGTCTTTCGGTTGGTAAATGTTGTCCATTCTTGTACCAGATGTAGCTGGGGTTGGGATTGTCACTCAGAGTACAGGTGGTGCTACAGGTACTTTCTGTCCTTTTTTGCACATTGGCTGTTTCCTTTGTCACCTTAAGATCTGTGACAGTAACAGTGATTCCAGATTGAATGAACTTCCGTCCAGAGTTCTCTGACTGAACCATGAAGTGATAGTCAGCATTGTCACTATTTCTCTTTGACTTTAAGTGCAAGAGAAGGAGGAGTTGGCTTCTAAAAGATTTCCCCAAATGTCATAAAGCTACTCAAAATGTCTGTAATACCCTTCGTCATCTGTGAAGTCTTCGGGAATGGTCTTGTCCTTCCGTTTCTTCTTGTTGTCATTGTTAAACCAGAAGAAGTCACATGTCCAGAAAAAGTCAGCATCAGGGAAATTGTAGCTCATGTTCACTGACGATCCCTCTAAGGCACAAACTTTCTTCTCATCGCAAATCACTGCATCTACATTCACCAGACTGGATGTAAAGGGGAACAGTCCTGCGAACATGCTTCTTGCCAAAGTGACGGGCATCAGTTAGAATGTGAAAGGGAGATCCTCCGATACCTGCCAACTTACTGGCAGTGCAGTTGAACAAGGTGTTAGTTTGAGAATGTGTCTTAATACCTAATGGAGTCCAAGCTTCAGTTTCGGATACAGATCGGATTTCCTTTTTAAAGTGTGTTTATCAAGATACGTACCATACAGGGTGGACATTGAAGCCAAAATTGAGTTAGATATTCATAGGTCCACATAAACATCCATGTACAGTGCATTCGGAAAGTATTCAGACCCCTTGACTTTTTCCACATTTTGATACGCTACAGCCTTATTCTAAAATTGATCAAATTGTTTTTTCCCTCATCGATCAACACACAATACCCCATAATGACAAAGCAAAAACAGGTAAATAAAATAAAACATTGACATAAGTATTCAGACCCTTTACTCAGTACTTTGTTAAAGCACCTTTGGCAGCGACTACAGAAGCCACTCCTGCGTTGTCTTGGCTGTGTGCTTAGGGTCGTTGTCCTTTTGGAAGGTGAACTTTCGCCCGAGTCTGAGGTCCTGAGCGCTCTGGAGCAGGTTTTCATCAAGGATCTCTCTGTACTTTGCTCTGTTCATATTTCCCTCGATCCTGACTAGTCTCCCAGTCCCTGCCTCTGAAAAACATCCCCACAGCATGATGCTGCTGCCACCACCATGCTTCACCGTAGGGATGGTATTGGCCAGGTGATGAGTGGTGCCTGGTTTCTTCCAGAAGTGACGCTTAGCATTCAGGCTAAAAAGTTCAATCTTGGTTTCATCAGACCAGAGAATTTTGTTTCTCATGGTCTGAGAGTTGCCTTTTGGCAAACTCCAAGCTGGCTGTCATGTGCCTTTTTACTAAGGAGTGGCTTCCGTCTGGCCACTCTACCATAAAGGCCTGATTGGTGGAGTGCTGCAGAGATAGTTTACATTCTGGAAGATTCTCCCATCTCCACAGAGGAACTCTGGAGCTCTGTCAGAGTGAGCATTGGGTTCTTGGTCACCTCCCTGACCAAGGCCCTTCTCCCCCGATTGCTCAGTTTGGCTGGGCGGCCAGCACTAGGAAGAGTCTTGGTGGTTCCAAACTTCTTCCATTTAAGAATGATGGAGGCCACTGTGTTCTTGGGGACCTTCAATGCTGCAGACATTTTTTGGTACCCTTCCCAGATCTGTGCCTCGACACAATCCTGTCTCGGTGCTCTACTGACAATTCATTCAACCTCATGGCTTGGTTTTTGCTTCGATGTGTGCCTTTCCAAATCATGTCCAATCAATTTAATTTACCACAGGTGGACTCCAATCAAGTTGCGTGTAGATTGATGAAGATTTTTATTTTATTTTAATCCATTTTAGAATAAAGCTGTAACGTAACAAAATGTGGAAAAAGTAAAGGGTCTGAATACTTTCCGAATGCACTGTATATGTACAGATATGCATATGGGTAGCCTATAGACATATCCAAGGACATATAGAGTAAAGTGTATTTATAAAAGTATAAAGTATTAGAAGAGCGTCTGCAAGTAGTTGCAGGGAATGAAGTTAACCTATAAGATTGTAGGACTCCCTTCTCTATGCACATACTACATATACATTTTAGTCATTTAGCAGACACTCTTATCCAGAGCGACTTGCAGTTAGTGCATACATTTATTTTATTTTTTTGTGTTTTCATACTGGCCCCCCCGTGGGAATGGAACCCACAACCCTGGCGTTGCAAGCGCCATGCTCTACCAACTGAGCCACACGGGGCCCTGGTCTCAATCCCTGAGTGTAGCACCTTGGCAGAAACAATTACAATCATACAGTTCTCTCTCTCTCATATGACTGTTCTCCAGCATATTACATAATTATGCACAATAATAAAATATGACATATGCACAATACAAAAAATATCAAATATGCACAATATGACAAATATTAAATATGCATATCCAGTGTTTTCTAAACAGGTGCTGGAGATCAAACAATATGTTTAGCACAATGCATTGTCAATTCTAATCCAACCGAAAATCCAACAGCCACTAAACTGGGCCCAGAGGTGTTCCGGTTTGATGATGGAGTGGAGGCCACAGCTCCCAGAGTAAACGAAAGGCATTACATCCTGAGGCCAGAGGTCGTGGAGAGCTACATGTACATGTGGAGACTGACCCATGACCCCAAGTACAGAGAGTGGGGCTGGGAGGCTCTGGAGGTCAGGCCATACATTTATATAAATGATAAATACAGTACAATAAATTGACCTATGATCCAGTGATACATTTCCTCGCAGCCCATTTTGATACTGTAGTCCTATGTGTGATTACCCTGAAGTAACATAACCTTAAAACCAACTGCATGTAGAATGGAAATGATGGTCTGATTCTTGCAGTTAGTTAAAGATGGGATTGTACTTTTATTTTACAGGCTCTGGAGCGACACTGTCGACTTGCCACAGGGTTCTCTGGTATCATTGATGTCTACGGCCATATAATCCAACACGACAACCTGCAACAGAGTTTCTTTCTGGCAGAAACACTCAAGTGAGTGAAGGAAAAGATACAAGCATAATTTGTGTTATCTTTGTCATTTCTCTGTGTTTTTCATTAGCAATAACCATAACATAACACTATTGTACAGAGTTTGTCACCTGTGTCCATTTTTACTTTCGTTCTCTGTCTATATATTTCATCTTAATTGTGTTTTCCTCTCCCTCCTCTATCTTTGTATTTTCTCTGCGCTTTACACTGGCAATAACCATAACATAACAGTATTGTACACTATTGTATAGAGTTTGTAATATGTGTCAGTGTTTGCTTCCTTTTGTACCCCATTTTAATAGTGTTTTCCTCTCCTCTCTCTGGTGTGTTACAGGTATCTATACCTGCTGTTCTCTGATGACGATCTCCTGCCTCTGAAGGACTGGGTGTTTAACACAGAAGCACACCCTCTACCTGTCATCCCCAGGAACTGCTCTCAGAAGACAGAGGACACAGACCGTTGGCCTGCTTGACAGGCTTATAGGGCTCCATTGAAATGGACCACGTATGGTGTATGTCCACTATCTGGCTTAGCTCCAGTGTTTGTCCCAAACATTTTGCCTTTATGTTTCCATTTCTGAGGCCTGGCCCAAAAAAATGCCCTAAGAAAAGATAGGGGGCCCTGTTTCTGGCCCTAGTCACTTTGATTAAACTGCAGGAGATGGATGGTCAGTGAGACACATATCTCTGTGGAAACTGTTGAACTGATTTTGTCTTCACTGTGAAAGCTGTTGTTGTTTCTGTGAATCATCAGAAACCAACAATAAGTATATCTGACTGTCTACTTCTTTGCCTCTGTGAGGAAAATTCCGATGTCACAGCGAATGAGCTGAACGTCAGCTTTCTGAGTGTCAATATGTCTTTGTGATACATCCATTGTGCATTAAATCTGTCTGCTATGACAAAATATTGGTTTTTCAGTGTAGGATTTTCTGTCCATGCCAGTTATTTTTCTTATCAGATAATTTCACTAATTGTAAGTCGCTCTGGATAAGAGTGTCTGGTAAAGGACTAAAATATCAATTTAAATATTTCTGATGGATTTCAGCACTTCTTTTATCTCTGTCTTAATTTCCTCTCTTGTCAGACTCTCACGATGCAAAACACTCCTCATCGATCAATGTTTATCCTGAACACAATCCATGGCTTGGAAATTGATTTATAGAAAGCTGCAGTCCCATGAGAAAGAGCTACATTGTTCATTAGGGCCAAAAAGTGAACAGAGAGCTTAGTGAAACTGATTACATGCTCACAACCCCACACCTCCCTCACTTTCTCTACATGTGCAATATCAATTAGATTACCCTGCATTACTCAAATGACTTTAACAAATAATATTTGATTTCTTCCCTGAAGGCTAAGTTGATTACAAATCTGTGACTAGTCATTAATTAATTTCAGTAATATTAAGATAGGCTACCGATTTTTAAATAGTATTTTCTATGCTTTATTTGATAGATGAGAAATGGGGAGATATATTAAAGGAAGACAACTTGAAGAGTAGATTCAGGGTTTGAACCCTGGTGTCATTGTATATGTGCAAATAGCCATGAATGTTTCCACTCAACTACAGGGGCTGTGTATTTTTTGTAGGACTTTGGATGTTACATTAAGTAAATATTCCCTGATGAACACAGGGCAGTGAGGGCATGGCCCTCCCACCGGTTACTGTGGCATGAGGAAATACCTGCATAACAGGGAGGCAAAATCCCTAACATGGCAACGACCAGTGTGTGTGGGTGGGGAGAAAGGGAGAGAGAAAGAGGGAGGAGAGAGTTATTTCTTAATAAAGACACTTGTCACAACATATTGATTTAGCATCCATTTGCCTTGAGTTTGAACAACTGCCTGCTGCTAATCCCAATACTGAGCTGGACAACAGGACCACTGAGCTGGACATGGCATTCAATGGAAAATGGAAAATCCACAGTCAGAATAACCATGAAGAGTTTCTTAAAGCAATGGGTGAGAACTCACATACACATTTCTTAGAACAATCTCATGAGTGTGTTCAATGGTAGTACTGTATTCTAGAAACTTTGTCAATAATGGTTGTTTTTTTATGTTGCAATTATGTTCTTTAGCTGTCCCTGAGATGTTGGTCAAAATGATCAAGGGTGTCAAGCCAACGACAATAATTGAGCAGAAGGGTGACAACTTCACCATCAGAGTTGAGACTCCTCTCCGTACTGTCACCAACTCATTCACTATAGGGAATGAGGCAGAAATCACTGCCATGGATGGGAGAAAGTTTAAGGTAATTCATAATTCATGAAATTGTATGTGACGTGCATGGACCTATGGTCATGACTCTGCTTGTTCAGCAGCCAGGAGAGTGGGAGAGCATCACAAAGCTTTGTTTATTTGCATGGTGCTATGTATCTGTCTCCTTTGTTGTAGTTTGATATTTACATACAGTAGGTGCAGCTGCAGCAGGGTGTGTGAGTGTTTTGTGTTTCCTCTCTGACCCATAGTGTACTGCCAGACTGGAGGATGGGAAGCTCATCTGCGATACAGAGAAGTTCTCCCACGTCCGAGAAATCCAAGGGGAGGACATGGTTGAGGTAAATGTCATCACTACGCTTTTAAATGTATTACTGTAATATAGTTGCATTAAAATAAATTTAATTGAATGCACTTTGTCCTAATGTCCTAAGTTAGGGGTTAGCACTAACCCAAGCCCCCCCCCTAAAAAAAGAAAAGAAAATGAATTGCCTGCCCCATTCAATCTGTGGTAGTTCATTCATGTTTTTCTGTGTTAGTGACTGTCCTCTTTCCCAATTTTTCAGACTATCACTGCGGCCTCTACAACCCTAACCAGGATAAGCAAGAGAGTCTGATCTCTAAAGCCACAGAGACAAGGATTACATTTTCAATTAATTAATTTAGTTAAAATACCTTTTATCTCAGTTAATATAATAGCTATAGTGGTGTAATGCAAAATATTACATTAAAAAGACAAATGACTCAATAACATTGCATCTGCTCATTTTCTGTGTAATTTAGACCCAGGCATTTTAAAAGCCCCAAAGCAAATGTATTTCTCTAACAAAACCAATACAAAATGGATAGCTTTCCCTGCCACCTTGTGGTTGTTGAATAATCTGCAATCATTGTAGTACTGCAACGAATGTCAACTTGTGGGATCATATTATCACTTTATCATTAACTAGCAAATGTGGACAACCATGACCAGTTCATAAAATATGAAATAAACACGAGATTATCTGGATTTTATCATTTAAAAATTCCTCAACAATTTCAAGGAATCCCAATAGGGAAAGCAACAGCTAACATCGTCATCTTCATCCTGTAAAGCAAGAACACAGACAAGAAGACTTTAGAGGAGAGGCATTTTACATGATACCAATCAACTTTTGTGACTGAATTCACACTGACTGTGGTTATATCCCAAATTATATCCCAAATGGCACCCTATTCCCTATGTAGTGCACTGCTTTTGACCAGGGCCCACTGTGGATTTTCCATTGAATGCCATGTCTAGTTCTATATCGTGGAGCTCCGCCCCATAGGGGAGCTCTGCTCCTATTGGTTTACCCACTGCCCTAAGGCAGCATCAGCCTGAGACAAAATTATGCACACACCTGCAGCCAATAGGAGTACAGGTGTCCCTATAAGAGGGGATGCCTCCCCTCAATCAGCCTCCCTTTATCTTCAGCGACTGGACTAGACTGAAGAAGCCAAGAAGAGACGAAGAAAAGAAGAGAAGACTCAGGACGAGAACGCCATCGAATTTCCAGTCATCGACGTCGTCCTAAAATGAGCACACCAGGAGATTTTCCACCCCCAAAAGCTCTTTTCAGAGCTCAATGCAGATGCTCCTCCATGGCGGCCGGCGACTCCCACGACTTATGTTTCGTGTGTCTAGGGTCCCAGCATGCCAAAGAGGGCGTCTGCAATCCCCCTAACTGCGCCTCCTGCGCCCTCCTTTCTAAAAAGGAGAGGAAGCAGCGTTGGGCGTTTTTTAGGGAGGATATCCCCCTAGAGGACGTGCTGTCGATACTAGCCTCTGCTTCAGAGGCGTCATCAGACGGCGCAGACTCAGGGGATGATGGGGACTATGAGGAGGAGGCTGACATTCCAATGGAACAGTCAGACCCCGTCCCTCATACATTCAAGCCCCCCTTTCCTTTGGTTAGAGAGAGGGATTGTAGTTCCTATGGTGATGACGACACGGGCTCTGAGAAGTCAGAAGCCCTGTCCTTCACCGCAGCGTCTCTGAGAACGGACTTTCCGGGTCTCATTGAGAGAGCTGCTAGACGGCTGGAAATACCGCTGCCCCCTATTCCCTCCGCACCGGAGGTTGACTTAATGGAGGGCGGCCCCTATTCCAGGCCAAGAAGAGCGGCAGAGCCTTTAGCTCCTGCCATGCCTTCATTGGCGAAATACGTCGAGGGCTCATGGGAGGCACTTTTAGCGGCGCGTTCGCCGGCTAAAACGTACCTCCCATTCACTAGAGTGGAGGGAAGGTTCCAGGGCCAAGCTAAGGGAATCCCCAGGTTAGAGAGCGCCATGGCGGCGTATCTCGTACCGGGTTCGAGTCCCTGGCCCTCTTCCAAGAAAGCCACGTTGCCATCTCAGAAGGACCGTCTCACAGCACAGCTGTTAGAGAAGTCCTTCAATTTGGGAGCCCAAGCTGTAGCAGCAGCTAACAACATTGCCCTCTTGGCAGCCGCTCTGTCCCGTTTAACCACGGGTAAGACAGAGCTGGAGCCAGAGGAGGTGGAGGAGGCGTCTAGAATTTCTGGCGCCATCCAACACCTAACACAGGCATCGGCCGTCTGCTCGGGGAGGTCCATGGCCACCTCGGTGGTCGCGGAGCGACACCTCTGGTTGTCACTGACAACCATGAAGGAAGCAGACAGAACGTCCCTGTTGAACGCCCCCCTCTCTGACGACGGGCTCTTTGGAGTCGCCGTCAAAGAGGCGACTGAGAGGTTTTCCAAACTGGACGAGGAAAAGAAGCAGCTGGCCAGACACCTGCCACTGGCAGGGAGGTTAGGCCCTGCACCGTCTCGTAAACCATCCACTTCCGCCCCCCAGAGTAGACAGGGATCTACAGCGAGGCGGCGTATCCGGCGTCAGTCGGCGGCCACAGGAGGCAGGAGAGCGGGCCCAGCCCCCCCAGCAGCCACGGTGGCCCCATTGCAGCCGGCGAGGGAGGTGGTGAGAGCGCCGACCTGGGCCCCTAAGGGAGGCCACAAGAGGAGGCGCACATGACGGGATGCGGGGGAGCGAATGGAGGACACGCCATCCTTGAACGTGACCACTGTTCCCCCCCACCCTTCGGTTGAAGGGATGGGTGATGATGTAAATGCTTTTGTTGATGTGTTTAATAAAGAGTTGGCTCCACCTGACTTTGTCAAAAAAGAGCCCTTTTTCCATAATACGTCCGAGAGCGTTCACATCTCACCCTCTCTCCCTTACCACTCTAAGCGCCGTTCAGCCCACCAAGGGTGCGTTGCTGAACAGGCATTCAGAGTAGGTTCACATAACACTTCAGGTATAAGAAGTGCTTCACATAGCAGACGGCAGTCTCTGTCAGACTCTGACATGATGACGCAGTCGCTATTTGGGGATGGCACACTATCACAGACTAAGGTCTCTGTTAGTACGACCCAGACCCATGCTGCGTTCAAGAAGGGCCCGATTACCACGGTCACGAAGGTGCCCAGTGTATCGGCGCCCCCACCTTTTTCTGAACGCGCCAAGGCTCACCACACTGAGTGTAGTTCAGCCCACCAGAGGTGCAGAGCTGAACGCACACAGGAGGTGAAAGGAGGAATAATACCTAGACGCCGTCTTGGTTTATCTCAAAGAGACCTCACATTACAGACTCCAAGGAGTACTGTAGTGAGTGCCTCTCATAGCAGGCTGCAGTCTCAGTCAGGAGACATGATGACGCAGCCGCTAGTTGGGGATGGCGCACTATCGCAGACTAAGGTCTCGGTTAGTGCGATTCAGACCCATGCTGCGTTCACGGAGGGCCCGATTACCACGGTCACGAAGGTGCCCAGTGTATCGGCGCCCCCACTTCTTTCTGAACGCGCTAATACTCACCACACTGAGCGTAGTTCAGCCCACCAGAGGTGCAGAGCTGAACGCACACAGGAGGTGAAAGGAGGAAAGATACCAAGACACCGTCTTGGTTTATCTCAAAGAGACCTCACATTACAGACCCCAAGGAGTACTGTAGTGAGTGTCTCTCATAGCAGGCTGCAGTCTCAGTCAGGAGACATGATGACGCAGCCGCTATTTGGGGATGGCGCACTATCGCAGACTAAGGTCTCGGTTAGTGCGATTCAGACCCATGCTGCGTTCACGGAGGGCCCGATTACCACGGTCACGAAGGTGCCCAGTGTATCGGCGCCCCCACTTTCCTTTGAACGCGCTAATACTCACCACACTGAGCGTGACTCAACCCACCAGAGGTGCAGAGTTGAACACACACAGAAGGTGAAGGGTAAGACGGTATCAAGGCGCCGCCTTGTGTTACTTCATAGAGACCTCATATTACAGACTTCGAGGAGTATTGTAGTGAGTGGCTCTAATAGCGGTTTGCAGTCACCTACGATGACGCAATCGCTTGCTGGGGATGGTGCCCTGTCGCAGGCTGTGGCCTCGGTCAGTGCAATTCAGACCCACGCTGCGTTCACGGAGGGCAGGAATACGACGGTTACGGGTTTAACTGACGTTTCTGCCCCCCCTTTTGGTTCAGAACGCACTAATGTTTCCTCTCCCTTTCTTGGGAGGCCCGCCTTGGGCTGTTCCACCACCTCAGTGTTGGAGAACAGCGGGCCATAGAGGAATACAGGTCCTTCCTACTGAATGTACCACAGCTTCGCGCTCGGCCGCTTCGCGCTCGGCCGCTTTCTCTGTATTGCTGGCAGTGGCAGCGAAGCTGCACCCTCTCACGCTGGCTACAACAGACGTTGCAGAAGGGTTATGCTCTCCAATTCCACCGGACCCCACCCCCATTCAGGGGAGTGGTGGAGACGGTGATGAAAACGCCCGAAAAAGTGGCCGCTCTGGTCTCAGAGATTACGGAACTTTTGGCGAAGGAGGCGGTCACCGTGGTTCCCCAGGAGCAAAGGAACAAGGGGCTATATTCGCCCTACTTCCTAGTGCCAAAAAAGACGGGGGGAATGAGGCCAATATTGGATTTACGCATTCTCAATGAGAGCGTAACCAAACGGCCCTTTCGAATGCTAACGACAAAACGTCTGCTGGAATGTGTCCAGAAAGGAGACTTTTGTACGAGCATAGACCTAAAGGACGCGTACTTTCATGTGCCGGTACAGCCGCGTCACAGGAAGTTTCTGCGATTCGCCTTTCAAGGGGTGGCGTACGAATACACGAGGATGCCATTCGGGTACGCCCTGGCACCTCGTACGTTTTCCAAGTGTGTGGAGGCGGCATTGGAACCGTTGCGTCGTCAGGGAATACGGCTACTAGCCTACCTAGACGACCTACTGGTTCTCGCCCCGTCAGCAGAGCTGGCGATCACTCACACAACACAGACAGTGATTCATCTCACACGTCTGGGGTTCGCTGTGAATTGGAAAAAGAGCACGCCCTGGCCCAGTCATCGGATTGTCTACCTGGGGATGCAGCTAGACACTGTAATGATGAGGGCTCGAATTTCGGACCCCCGAAGGGTAGCCTTGTTGCTAGCCCTGAGGAAGTGTCGTCCGAATCACACGGTGACGGCGCTGTCGATCATGTCACTCTTGGGTCTCATGTCGTCAGCCCACTCTGTGGTACCGCTGGGACTCCTGCACATGCGCAGGATGCAGCGATGGTTCGCCCAACTGAGACTAGACCCGTTGCGTCAACGTCATCGGTTGGTGGTGGTTCCCCTCTCGCTCAGTGCAGATCTGAACTATTGGAGAAACCTGCGCGTTCTCACGCACGGAGTCCCGATAGGCAAAGTGTCCTCTTACATCCCAGTGTTTACAGATGCGTCTCTGACGGGATGGGGACGGACATGTCAGACCCAAGCGATAGGAGGTGTGTGGCCTCCTTCGAGTCGCCACATCAACCTCCTGGAGTTGGAAACGGTTCGACTGGTTTTGACCCACTTCGCGTCTACCCTTCGGGGTCGCGAT